GCTACCCTCCCCTTTTAAACAGTTAGATCTCTGCTTCACATCATACAACTCCCCCACCCATATCCTGCCTCTGCTCCCCAAGTTCTGGGCTTACAGACATGGACCACCACACCAGGCTTAAATATCTGTCCCCAGAAGGGAAGTTCCAAGTCTAACTGAAGCTCCCTCTACTCTCACTCCAGGTCCGTCCTCCCCAGGGGCACTGGGTCTCCTCAGGCAACACAACTTGGTATTGTAAGCATCTGTTGATGATGCTAATGTCTTTCCCAGGGGATGGGGTTCCTTGAAAGCCCTGGCAATGATTTTCTCAATGGCATAGACAGGGGCTCAGACAGGAGAGATGGGTGCACAGCACAAAGAACGAGAGGATGGATGAAGGGTAAGAGAAAGGATGGATGAATGCATGGTTCCCAGGGCGATGGAGATGGATCAGTTAGTCAGAGTACTTCCTGCACAAACATCAGTCCAAATTCTCAGCACCCACATGAAGCTGTGCGCTGCTCTAAGTGTGTCTGTGATCCCAGCACTGGGAAGGGCAGAGACAGGAGGGTTGGAGGATCATCTGGGCTTGCTAGATGCAGGCCTCGCTCCAGGGGCAGTGAGAGGCCCTACCCCAATGGAATAAGGTGGCATGTGATAGAACAGCTCAGTTAACGTCCTCTTCTGGCCCCCATGCACGAATAGGCTTTCATCTCTACACACCTGCACAAACATACATACCACACATACACTGTATGTACACACACCCCCCAAAAAGAAAGATGGAGGAAAGAAAAGTTTGATAAAAGGACGAAGGGAAATGAAATGAGTAAATTCAAAAGGGAGGAGGGCGGATTGAAGAATACCTCGGTGACACTAATGGTGTGAGGGCAGCTTGGGATGACAGAAACCCAGCACTCCAACCTGCAAAAAATGTCCCAGTTGGGAGGTACAAGCTGATGTCGCCAGCGCGGACACTCTCCTCTCTTGCAGGCGTGGCTGGCATTCCCTTTCCTTCTCTGGCTCCACCCATCACCCTGCTGGTGGATGGAAGGCAGCAGATGCTGGTGGTCTGCCTGGTCCTGGATGCGACACCCCCTGGCCTTGACAGCCCCATCTGGTTCTCAGCTGGCAACGGCAGCGTACTAGACACCTTCACCTATGGGCCCTCCCCAGCACCGGATGGCACCTGGACTAGCCTGGCCCAGCTTTCCTTGCCCTCTGAAGAGCTGGAGGCCTGGGAGCCCTTGGTCTGCCACACCAGGCCTGGGGCTCGGGGCCAGAGCCGGAGCACACTGCCCCTCAAGCTGTCAGGTGGGGATGAAGCCTGGGGACTTGTCCCTTTCCATACCCAGGAGCCAGGAAGAGTGGGAAGAGAAAGGAGGCCCCAGGAACGGGGCAGGAAAGACACGGGAGGGTAGATCCTGGCTCCTGGTAGAGGGGTTTGAGACCATGTTTGACTGCGGTGATATATGGTTCAGGGTTTCTCTTGAGCCTGTAATCCCAGCACGAGAAGTAGAGACAGGAGGGTCAAGGCTATCCTTGACAATAAGTGAGTTCAAGGCCTGTTTGGGCTATATGAAACTGTTTCAAAAATCAAGGTAAAAGCAAATCCAGGCACTGATGTGTGATTGCTAAGAAATATTAGTAACTTTTAATGGATTACTCATAAGTGTACATATCCATATGTTTTATATACAATCTCTATAAAAAGTTCATATACACATAAACCAACCCTGAAAGACCAAACAATAATTAAAGAATAAACTCTATTGCCTGGTGGTAGGTAGTGGCACACGTCTTTAGTTCCCATACTCAGGAGGCAGAGGCAGGTGGATCTCTGTAAGATCCAGGCCTGCCAGGGCTACACAGAGAAACCCCGCCTTAAAAAAAGAAAGAAAGAAAGGAAGGAAGGAAGAAAGAATAAACCCATATTACTTTTTACCAAGTGTATTCTATGCCAAGCACTGCCCTAAGTGCTTCATTTTTTAAAAAATGGGGGGGGGTTGGTTTGTTTGTTTTTGTTTGTTGAGTCAAGGTTTCTCTGTATTGCTTTGGAGGCTGTCCTGGAACTCACTCTGTAGACCAGGCTGGCCTTGAACTCACAGAGATCCATGTGCCTCTGCCTCCTGAGTGCTGGGATTAGGGATGTGGGTCACTACTGCCTGGCTTGTGTTCCCAGCTTTTTAATGAGGGTGCTTGGTCCCAGCTCAAGAAACACTTTTCCGACTAAGCCAAGCGAGGAGGCTGGCTGGCCAGTGAGCCCCGAGGGTCTGCCGGACCCTCCCTCCCCAGCACTGGATTGTAAATAGGAGTCCCAGGCACTGTTGTATTTCTTTTTTAACACCTGGCCCTGTGCTTGTATAGCAAGCACTGGCATGATTGAGCCATTTGAGCTGCCTCGGTTTTGTTACCTTCCAAAGAGGGTTGCTTCCTGAAAAAAATGCCCTGCCTTCCCGCAAAAGCTGTAGGAAGGGGCAGAACTGTAGCACAAACAAAAACCCAGAGACAGGTCCTGGGGTTCAAGACGAAGATCAGAAGAGCAAAGCAGCCAAGCAACTAGTGAGTTCTTACCTCCAGCAAGGCTGAGACCACAGAGGGGCAGGCGATCCTGTCCTCAGTGGGACAGCACACTGTAGTGCTCTCCACCAAACCTCAGACGGCCCTGAGACTGCACTGAGCCCCTGCCTTATAGTCCTCTCTGGTGCTGGGATTAAAGGGTGTCGTCTCTGGGATCAAAGGCATGAGCTCTGTTTCTCTTTTAGACTGATTCCCTCTCATGTAGCCCAGGCCTTGAACTCACAGAGATCCATCTGCCTCTCTCTGGAGTGCTGGGATTAAAGGTGTGGCCACCACTGCCTGTGCTCTGTGGCTGACTAGTGGCTTAGTGTCCGTGTGGCTGACTGGTTAGTGGCTTAGCTGTGCACTCTGATCTTCAGGCAAGCTTTTTTTTTTTTTTTTTTTTTTTTTTTTTTTTTTTTTTTGTTAGATCGTAAATAAAACAATACCACACAGAACTGTCAGGCAGGCAGGGAGGACCAGCTCCTCTCCTCAGGACTCCCGAGCAGCGAGCCTGGGACTGTGAGGTGCCCGCCCATCCCATAATACTTCCTTCCTTCTTGGCTCACAGGGGAAACTTCCACAGCCAGGACCTGCTTTCAGGAGCCTCTCGGGGGTGAGTGGTCCTGGGGTGAGGGTGGGAACGCTGAGGCCTGGCGGGTGGCACTCAGCCCATGAGGTTGAAGTCTGAAGACTGAGACATCTCCAGTTAAGGGACTGCTTTGCTAAGGGCTAGCCTGGGCTTCAGCCTTTCCTGGGATAAGGTGGGGTTTTCAGACCCCATCCCAATTCCTGGACTGCGGTGGAACAGCACAGAGGAGGACCTGATGGCTCCTTGGGTCAGGTGGCCTCATGAGAGCCTATGCTTTGCTTAACCATCCGAGGTGGCCAGAAGAAGGCTGGGCTCAGAATCACAACCAGCATCCATTTCTTGCCCAGATCTTCTGATCAATTTACTCTTTGCGTCAGATGCTCTTTTCTAACTGCTTGCTTCCGTCGCCAAATAAAACAAGACCAGGGCAAAGTGGGAGGCCCTTGTTATTACCAGTAGAAACTAAGGTTAGACATCAGGAAGGACTTTCCTTGAAGGGGGGAGTGGATGGAGACTGGCCAACAGAGAAGACAGGCCCTGCCTGTCCTCTGGGAGCCCAGGGCTGCTGGGAACTCCTTACTCTTGGTTCTGCAGGGACACCCGGGCAGGTACTGCGGTTGAGTGCCCTGCGCCTGCTTCTCTTCAAGCTGCTTCTGTTGGATGTGCTGCTGACCTGTAGCCGCCTCTGTGTGCTGGCCAGCCAGCGCCTACTGCCACCACCCCCGCATAAGCCCCTGCCTCCTACCCTCCGAATTTGGGCATAGCAATAAGAGACGTCAAGCTTTGACCTTGTCCAGCCCTCTGAGGCTCTTTGCTGAGTCCAAGATGGCTACGCTGGACACTTCTGCCACCTGGGGCAGCAACACAAAGCCCAGGCTGCAAGGAGGCCAGCTGGACCCCACAGCTCATGACCCCGCCCCATGCTCCTTATTCAAGTTTCGGACCTTTTTTTCCTGTATGTGGTCTAACTCTGCCTGTAAATGGGTCTATCTGGCACTGGGCTTTGCCTCCCTTGGCAGCCTGAGGCTTTGGGAGGAAAAGGACTGTGACTCTCCTGTCACACTGGGTAGGAGGATGGATGTGCCCCAGTGTGTGTGTCCGGGCACAATACAGAAGAGCTGAGATGATACAAACGCTTTGTAAAGCTTTTCGTTTGTGTGCCTGGGGGAAACGGTGTGAGCCAGATAAAGAGGAGTTGGAAATCTGGGAAGGCTCCCTGGAGGAAGAGAGGGAGCCTGGAAATTGCCTGGTGGGCTTGGGGACAGGACAGGGGCTGTAGGGACTCTCTTCTACCCCAACTGTCAGTCACTGGACAAGGGTCCTCCCTGCTTCTTTAGCCCGGCACAGCCTCTCTGAGAGGGCAGAGTGAAGCCAGGCAGGTAGTGCTTACCTGCTAGTCTTGTGCAGACTTGACAGAAGACTGCAGAACCAGGATTCCTGGGCATCAGGATCATATCCAATGCTAGCAGCATAAGATGATAACTGCAAACCTACGCGCTATTAATTAGAGGTCATTATTCATTTGACAGATAATATCTCAGCATCGGCTGGGAGCCAGGCACTAAAGAGGTTTGACTCTGTTGGTTTTCCTTATTCCCTAAAGAGAACCCTCATGGATAGAGAGGATGAGGTAAATCATGAGGTACACATGATTTACTTCGTGTGTGTGTGTGTGTGTGTGTGTGTGAGAGAGAGAGAGAGAGAGAGAGAGAGAGAGAGAGGGAGAGAGAGGGTGAGAGGAGAGAGAGCGAGCGAGCCCATGGAGGACAGTGTCAGTTTAAAGCAATGGCAAGAGGCCAGAGGATCCTTCTAGAACCAAGGCTGCCCTTGAACTCATGGTCCTTCCGATTCTTCTGTAGTGAGAAATTCACATCGTCCGCACCTGTGGCACTGACCACGCCCATTGGGAGTGGGGACAGGGAAGCCCCCCACCCCCACCCCCCACCCCCGGAGCAGTCTTGCTTGCAGCACAGGGGACAGAGAAGCATCCAGAGGCATCCCTGGGACCTGGAAGCTGCTGGTGTTCATCTGTCTCTGTTGTAAGTTATTTCTCCCTGAATAAACTTCTATTCAGCCTATCTGTTTTTCGTGATCCTTATTAACCACAATATTCTTCCAAAGAGCTCTGTCTTTCTTCCTTCACCTTCTAAGACCTGAAATCAGAGTGCTGGTATTATGGGCGTGTACCATCACACCTAACTGATATGGCTCACTTTTGTGTTCGGTGCCAGATTGGGCCTAGGACTTCATGCACACAAGGTAACCACTCTGCATCTAAGGTCCATGTTCAGTTAGGGAATCCTCTTCTTCTTCTTTTTTTTTTTTTTTTTTTTAATTATTTTTACTTTATATGCATTGGTGCTTGGCTTGCATGAATGTCTGTGTGAGAGTGTCAGACCTTGTGAGTCAGAGACAGTTGTGAGCTGCCTTGTGGTTGCTGGGAATTGAACCCGGGTCCACTGGTAGAGCAGCCAGAGCTCTTAATGACTGAGCCATCTCTTCAGCCCCCAGAAATTCTCTTAACAAAGACCTCCTAATGCCGGGCACTCTGATGTTACAGAGGCAGAAAGGAACTGTAAATGTTCAATGACGGGTTCCTGCCTTCTAGGCGCTCAGAATACAAAGAAATAAACAGCAGAAGAGACTGACTTAGCATGTTAAAATGCTGGAGTGTGATCCATGTGCTTCATACATTTCAGGGTCTTTTTGTTTTGCAGACAGGGTCTCCTGCAGCTCAGGCTGCACCCCATGTCTATAGAGCCAAGGATGACCTTGCATTTTTAACCCTTCTATCTGCCTCCTGAATGTTGAGATTACCACCCACCTCCAGGCTTATGCCAGCCTAGGGACTGAGTGCCAGATTGGAGAGGGAACACCAGGAATTTGTGCATGCTAGGCAAGGGTCCTACCACTGAATTACATTCATTTTAAATCCCTGTGTGTTACAGCTCTGCTCCAATGCAGGGGAGGTTGCCTCAGTATGTTATAGCTCTTAAGTGAAAGGTGTCCTGGCAATTGGGAGCCAAGGAAGCCACGCAATACCACAGAGTCACACAAACCTCACACAAGAGACTGGGCCAGTGGTGGCATACAACTTTAATCCCAGCATTTAGGTGGCAGAGTGAGTTCGAGGCCAGCATGGTCTACAGATGAGTTCCAGGACAGGCAGGGCTACACAGAGAAACCTGTCTTGAAAAAGCAAGGGAGAGAGAGAGAGAGAGATTGGGAGGTAAAAACAGGAGGGTTGGTAGGATTTTTGTGGCCTGATCTTGGGGTAAGCTCAGGGATTGGTAGGATTCTTTTTCTTGGCCTTGAGCCTGGCGTCAAGTTAGGGTCAGGGTGTTCTTTCCTTGACCATGGTCTCAGGGTCAAGTTGGGAGTATGTGTGTGTGTAGGTTCTCTCCCTGGCCTGTTAACCCTACAAGTTGGTGATGGCACAAGCCTTTAATTTCAGAGGGGCAGAAGCCAGCGGATCTCTGAGCTCAAGGCCAGCCTGGTCTACAGAGTGAGTTCCAGGACTACACGGAGAACCCCTGTCTCAAAAATCAAAGAAAAAATTAATTCATTAATTAATTCACAGAGAATATAGGAGGGAGCTTTCGGGTCAGATGCAAGGTTACTGGGCCTCAGGACTGTTGTGAGTCCCTAAGTATGTATTAAAGAGAGTGGCTGTGATAATAAAATTTAAAAGCGAAAGTTTGCACAGAAAACCATGAAGAAGTTGCCTTAGCTGGTACAGGACGTGCCATCAAGCCCATGGACCAGAGTTTGATATTGGAGGCAGTGCATTTGACTTTCAGCTTCAAGCCTTTGGCGGTCACAAATTACTGCCTTTTCTCAGACAACAGTGTCCTGTCGGGCTTAGCCCTTGGCCACCATTCTTGGACTGATGAGTTGCAAGAACAACCTGTGCCACTATTTTGCTCTCCGTCTCTCCCATGGGAAGTAAACCACCAAAGACTATCAACCCATCCATTCCAATGGAATACCTGTTAGAAAAATCTGAAACCCCTTCACTTAATGCCGTTTGTGAAGGCCCCCAGACTCGCTTACCTCTGTACCAAGAAATGGCCTAAATATGCCCTAGATAATAAGTCAAATTGGCCACCCAGTGGCCCTTTAGACTTCTCTTACTCTCTCCTTGCCCTTCCATTATGAAGCAGCTCTTGGCTCTCCACATGAACCCCTCTTTACCCCTGTTACTAAGCCCTTTCAGAAACTCAAACAGGCTTTTCTCCAGGCCCCAGCCCTTCATCTCCCAGACCTAACGCGCCCTTTCTCCCTCTGTGTAACAGAAAAGGAGGAATATGCCCTTGGAGTTCTAGGCCACCAGCTAGGACCTTCCTTTGTCCCGTAGCGTAGCATATCTGTCAAAGAAACTAGACCTAACCAGCCAAGGACGGGCACCCTGCATACGTGCTTTAGTGGCTGCTGAGCTCTTTATTCGCGAATCAGAGAAACTATCACCGTCTCCTCCCACCACAACCTGTCTCATCTCTTAACTTATAAGGCCTTACAAACTCTACCTCCTTCCCAGGTTCTTTCTCTCCAGCTGGCACTAGTAGAAGATGCTACACTTACTTTCCAATCCTGCCCACCCCTCAATATCGCAAACTTTCTACCTCAACCTAATACTAACTGTTCCCCATCTCATTCCTGCATTGAAACCCTAGGAGCTATTGCCCCATCCTTCACACACACAGGAAGGCACACTACCCCAGGCCATCTATACCTGGTACACAAATGGCAGCTCCTTTTTATGTGAGGGGACCCATAGAGCAGGCTATGCCATAGTGTCAGATACCAGGGGTGGCGGAGGCATGGACACTCCCTGCCCACACTACTAACCAGCAGGCTGAATTAATAGCACAGGGACAAACCCTAAATCTTTACACAGACTCCAAATATGCTTGTCACACCCTCCTGTCCCATGCTGCTATCTGGAAAGAGGGCAGGCTACTTACTACAAAGGAGGATCCATAACTAACTCAGGTCAAATTATGGCCATGCCTAAAGGCCTCCCACCTCCCCAAAGCTATAGGGTATTCACTGCCGTTTTCATCAGACTGACAGCTCCATTATCTCTAACAGCAACAACTGGGCTGATGAAGCAGCTAGGGCTGCAGCCCTCTGAGTCCCACTCACCTCAGCCAGCACAGGGAGTTCATACACTGTAACCCACATCCTCACAGTCAGCTCCTGACACTCGACAAATTCTGTCCTATTTACACCAGCTCTTTCATCCTAACAGGCTGTCTCACTTTGTCAAGGCTCATCTCCAGCCCACTTCTGAGGACTTGCATTTCTTAAGAACTATCATTGCCTCTTGTAAAACCTGTCCGATGTCAGACCCTAACTCCAGGTATCGTAATCCCCCTTCTCCTACCCACCAGGCCAGGCGCTCTCCCAGGGATTGACTGGCAACTTTACCCACATGCCCACAGTCAGGCAAGTCAAATATCTCCTGGTACTAGTCGATACCTTCTCAGGGTGGGTAGAAGCATTTCCAACCATTAACAAAAAAAACTCAGTCTCTGACATCCTTCTCAGGGAAATTATTCCCCAGTTGAGAATTCCAGCCTCTCTTTAGTCAGACAATGGTCCTGAGTTCACCTCTCAGATCTCCCAAACCCTATCTAAAGCTCTCAACATCCCTTGGCATTTCTATACCCCCTAGTACCCCCAGTCCTCAGGGAAGGTAGAGCGAACTAACCATTCTTTAAATGTGTTCTTGTTAAAATGTCACTGGCAAAGCTCTGGCCTCTGGCTCTTTTCAGGCTTAGGGCTCCCCCCAAACGACCCCTTTCCATCTCACCCTTTGAACTCATGTATGAGCGGCCATTTCTAACACCTGGCCTCTCACCTAAGACTGTCACCTCTCCCTGACCATCTACCCTTACTTCATCATCTCCGCTCCCTCCCATGGAACTTTACTGACCATTCCCTACTTCAACCACATGCCAACCCCTGTACATCAACAATTAACATCAGGGACCAGGTCCTTATCCCTCCTCCAGACCAATGCCCCTCGACCTTTTCCTCTAAATGGCAGAGCCCCTTCAAGGTAATTCTTGTAACTTCAACAGCTGCTAAGCTTGAGGGCTTCCCCTGCTGGATTCATTTATCTCACCTCCAACACTTTCTTCTCCACCTGAAACTCACCCCTCACTCAGATACTGCAACAGGACCCTGCTCCCTTAAGCTTAGGAGGACACCAAGGTCAGCTACCTTGTCTCCTATTTCAGAAGAATAAGGCTTCACTCCTACAACCACACTCTGCCGGACTGGGAACCCCATATGTTTTCCTTCCTGACTTCCCTGTCTGTCCTCAGGTGGATCTGAGCTCTCCTGTTTCTAAATACACCCTGTTCATCAATCTCTTCTCTATGTGTCCCTCAATAACTCATTCAAAACTTCTAATCCAACCTATTAGCTGCTGTTACAGGAACGCCAGCCAGAAGCCGAGGATCTGGAGACACAAAGACCATCAAGCATGCCCAGGTGCCCTCAAACCAACCATCTGTGCCTCCAGAGTGAATGTAAAGGTCTGAGAGGCGTCAGACAGTTCCATACAGCCTGGACTCCCAGGGTGTGGCAGCACCCCGGCTTTTTCTCCCCCCAGAGATGGTTAATGTCCCCTAAGTCAGCTGGAAGCAGTCTCGACTTAGTGCCCTGTATTCCTGCCCTATCTGACCCCCCGTTTAATCTCCCACCTTTTAATAATAAAAAGAGGTGGGATTGTTGGTACCCTGGCTTCTCTCTCCTCAGGGCCTGGGGCAACCTGGCCCTGTTCCTGCTCTGAACTCCTCTCCTCCTCTTGCTCCGTGGTTTCTTCCCAGCCTGCCACTCTACACCAGCCCTCTCCTGGGCCTGGGCCTTCTCCTTTGGGAACCTTTCCTGGTCTCTCTCCCTGCCCTGGGGTTGCTCTTCTCCCGACTACCTTCCCTCGCCCCGGAATCCATCTTTGACAGGTGACTGACAGCTGTCAAAGGTTGCATGGCTGCATCGTGCCTGTGTTAGGTTCCTGCATAAGGGCTCTGCATTTAGAAACCAGCACGGCTGTGTCGAGCATGCGTTAGGTGGCTGCTTAAGGCCTCTGCATGCAGAAACCACGTGGGGCTGGGGCATCACGGAGCTGGGCCAGCAGCCTCTCCATCACTCCAGTTCCAAGGGCTCCAACTGCTGAGACAGCTCCTGTGCAAGTGACCCTACCCGTTCTCTCTTTTCTTCCATTTCTGCTCCAGACCAGGTAATGCCTACCCCTCCCTGTGCTCGCTCCCTTTCCCAATCAACTCCACGTGGGTGGATCGTGTTTCATTGCCTGAAGCTGCAGCAAATACAAAAACAAAACAAAACATCCAGGACCAACATGGTGGAAGGTGGCAACTGATTCCGGTCATCCCCAACACAAAATAAATAAATATTTTACACACTAAGGGAGAAAGCATGATGCCTGGTGTGGAGGTGGACACCAGAGACAGGTGGATCTCGAGTTTGAGGCCAGCCTGGTCTACAGAGCGAGTGCCAAGGCAGCCAAGGCTACACAGAGAAACCCTGTCTCAAAACACGACAAACCCAAAAACAAAAACTTTGAGAGTCCGCTCCACGTTATCCAGGCTAGAGCGACCAAACCAGTCCATCCAAGGAAAGCCAGGGTTCTACTCCGGAGGACCAAATGCTCCAGCCTCCCCAAAGTCTCCACTAGAAGGCCGAGCGAACGCTATAGGTCGCTGCAGCCACCATCCCCTCTCTGATTGGCCGAGGTGGACAAAAAAAAAAAAAAAAAAGATCGTTTTTTCCCATTCGCTAAAAAGCAAACGCCAAGCGAACCTACTGGCTGAGTCGCGCCCGGCCTAGGTCCCTTTCTAAAGCCGAAAGCCGCCAGCGGCCGGGGAGGAGGGGGCGGTCCAGGGCGCGCTGTTGCCGTGGTTACGCGGAGGCACGTGTGCAGCCCCGGAAGCGGCCGGGGGAAGCGAGTCCGTGCGCGCTGCTGGAGGAAGCGCCCTCGGGTCCGCTCCGCTGTGGGTCCGGCTGGGCCATGGAGTCGATGTCTGAGCTCGCGCCCCGCTGCCTCCTGCTTCCCTTGATGCTGCTGTCGTTGCTGCTCCTGCCTGCCCCGAAGCTGGGCCCGAGCCGCGCCCGGGCGGAGGAGACCGACTGGGTGCGATTGCCCAGCAAATGCGAAGGTGAGGGGGCGGGGCCGCGGGGCGTACCCAGGCCGAGGGGCGGGATGGGGCGGGGCCTGTTGGGCAGGGTCCTGGGGTTCGGGGTCTGGCCGACCCCGCTGTGTGCGTGGCACTGCTAGGTGCTGGGCCTCTCGGATGAGCAGCACGTCCGTGCTCTGGGGCTGGCCGAGGCCGAGCTGCTTATCTAGCCTGGAGGTGGGGGCGGAGGGGAAGCTTCATATAGGTAGGAGGCCTGCTGCGAAATTAAGAGTTAGCCAGGAAAAGGAAAGTGCAGGAAACCCACTCGGCGTAAACCACAGAAACAGGCAAATGAAGGGGCCGGAGGGCGAGTTTGAGGAACTGAAAAGGTCCCTTTGACTCAGAAAAGGAACCTGAAACAAGCCCTGTCGTGCCTCTCTGCGACCTAATGTATGTGTGTGGTTTTTTGCTTCTTGAGGACAGGGACTTAGTTGCAAATGGTTATTGGCAAACAAACAAACAAGCTTTTGGGATATATACGGTTATATGTGTGTGGGGAGAGGAGGTTCAGAGAGTCAAGAGGTCACTTTGGGGGAAGCACAGAGCCCAGGACAGGTGAAGGAGGAAGATTTTATAAATTTACAAGACTCGGGACCCCGGAGACACTGGAGTGGAGGCGGGAATTTAGCTGTTCAGAATCGGAGACCTCTCTTTTGTCCTGCTCTTAACTTCCTGTTTTCCTCTCAGACCTTTTCAGTCATCCGCTCCCTAGCTTGAAGCATCCCCCCCAAAGTATTCTGGAAATCCATTTTTATGCTAATGCAAAGCCTGCACCAAGCCAGATGTTCCCTAAGCACTGGGAAGTGGGGCGGCCGGTTTGAGTCATGTAATCCTTCCATTTGAGCAGTTAAAAGTGAGACTGGGGGCAGGGACATGGCTCAGTGGGAAACATGATTGCCACACATGTGTGAGAAGCTGAGTTCAGATCCCCAAGACAAATGTAAAAAGCCGGATGGTGCAATGTGTACCTCTAATCCCGGCACTGGGAGGCATACACAGGGCGACCCTAGGAGCCCATTTGTCATGCTCCAGGTTCAAGTGAGAAACCTTGTCTGAAAAACAGCAAGGTGCAGAACAGTATCAGAAAGCACCTCTGGCCCCCATGTTCATACCCACATATGCATGCACACACACACTATAAAAACACAGGGTCTTTTTGTTGTTGTTTTTGTTTTTTTTTTTTTTAATCGAGTCTCTGAATATACAGGATTTTTGCTTGTTTCTATTTTTTTTCAAGATAGGATTTCTCTGTGTAGCCTTGGCAATCGCAGAGTTCTCTGTGGAGACTAAGCTGGCCTCGAACTCATAGAGATCCTCCTGCCTCTGCCTCTGCTGGGATTAAAGTTGTGCATCGGCCTCTCCCCCAGCAAAAGTTTTTTTGTTTTGTTTTTGTTTTTGTTTTTGTTTTTCAAGACAGGGTTTCTTTGTGTAGCTTTGTTGGCCAGGCTGGCCTCAAAGTCACAGAGATCCACCTGCCTCTGCCTCCTGAGTGCTGGGATCAAAGGTGTGCACCACCACTGCCTGGATTTTCTTTTCTTTAGTTTAAAAGTTTTGTTTTTTAAGTAGACTGTCTAGTGATACTTGACCACACTGGAAAGGTATCTGGTAAAGGATCTCTCCTGAGCAGTCTGTGGTGGCGCATGCCTTTAATCCCAGCACTCAGGAGGCAGAGGCAGGTGGATCTCTGTGAGTTTGAGGCCAGCCTGGTCTACACGGTGAGTTCCAGGACAGGCTCCAAAGCCACAGAGAAACCCTACCTTGGTGGGGAAGGAAGGGGGTCTCTCCTGTGCCAGGCTGCTTTCCTATCTACTTCCCTCTAGTCTTGGGACTTTTGGGTTTTTTGTTTGTTTTGTTTTTTGAGACAGGGTTTCTCTGTATTGCTTTGGAGTGCTGGGATTAAAGATGTTCGACACCGATATCCAGCTGTCATGGGGCTTTTGTTTCATCTTTTATTATCCACAGCCGAAGAAGCTCATTTCTTTTTCTTAGGAGATCTTCATAGACTCAGAAGCATAGAGTTGGCATGATCTTAGAGATCATGCAAGCCTAACAAAGGAATTTTCAGAGTGGTTTGGCAAAATTTGACCCTTAGGTACCTCTTAATACTCTATTCATTCATGTTTATTATTATTGCATCTTTGTTATTAATTGACGACTGTTATCTGGCTCACAGAGTCTGCCTTCGGGCTTAGAAGTCTTTAGTGGAACAGGCCTCAACACAGAAGGAGAGCCTGCCCAGAAAAAGTGGGTGGCTCTCCCTGAGGGTCTTGGGTCTGTTCCCTGAGATTCCCTCAAGTCTGGCTCTGAGGGGGCTCCTCCCCGGGTGGTCTTGGGAAGAAGTGACATTTGGAAGAAAGCTGGTGTACTTGATGGGTATAAGAGAAAGAATGCTGGGAGCCTTCATGTTTCCCCCTTCCAGAATACCACGTGCGGTGGCTGTGGGAGAATGGAGCAGAGGGCTCAGGACAATGAGAGTTTGCAAGGGGCTCAGAACAGGTGTGGGAGGGAGCCCAGATGGTCCAGGATGGAGAAGCAGAGAGGTCATTGGTACATTGGAGACTCTGAGATCACCAGCTTGTAATTGGGACTTTTGTGTTCCCTGTTCTCCAGGCATCAATTAGTGTACTTGTTACATAAAATTCCACCAAACAAACTGGGGTAGTGTTGACATTATCGCGTGCGTGCGTTCGTGCGTGCGTGTGCATTAAATTCCAGTCTTGGTGATAAAACAGTGCACATAGCCAGGCATTGGTGGCGCATGCCTTTAATGCCAGCACTCAGGAGGCAGAGGAGGCAGAGGCAGGGGGATCTCTGTGAGTTCTCCAGACCAGCCTGGTCTACAGAGCGAGTTCCAGGACAGGCTCCAAAGCTGTCTTGAAAAAAACTTTAAACAAAAACAAAACAAAACCCCAAAAAACAGTGCTGATACCACTTAACCAGCAGACAAAATTCCACTCAGAGGATCCCACATGAACTCCATCAGCAGTAATTAGCAAGCATCCAATATATACAGGGTACCAGACTCGGCAGCTCGGAAGCTCCTGTGACTGTGTGTAACTTTGAAGGCACCGGATGTCTAAGCTGGGTCTTACAGCAATCATAGCTATGTGTCTTACCGAGAGGCCTAGTTCAGAACATTCTTGGGAAGCAGACTTACTGGTGTGTCAGGAGACTGGGTCATAGGTCATAGAAGCCTCTAAGGGGCATTAACCCCTTTCCCAGGGACGAGGGAGCATCACACGAGGGAGCATCACACGCTGAAGGCGGTGGCTGCTGAGGGTGGTGGCCACCTGGTTAATTGTTAAAACCCTTTGCTCTTTCACAGTGAGCATAGAAGGTGGGGCCTTGTTTTCTGTGTCCCCGTCCCCAGTGCTCCCTGTCCCCAGGGCTCAGCACACAGCAGTTGCTTAATAACTGCTTGAGCAGGGTAGGAATAAGAAAATACAAGCACACAAACATAGGCCTCTCTGGAGCAGAGTAACTTGGCAGCCAGAGAGAACTGGGGTCACCGGAAATAAAGAAGGTGCCTATTCATTTCCTGAGTACCATAATTGTTGTATGGTTATACAGAGGTCCATGTATAGTGTATAGTTATTTATAATGTTTAACTGTTAAGATGGTTATTAAATATTAGGTACGGAAGGGCAGACCATTAGCAGTTGTGAATGTGAATAGAAGAAGGAAGTTTTTCATTCTATTCAGGCATAATGTACATGAATATTTTTTAAAAGATTTATTTATTTATAATGTATAGTGTTCTGTCTGCATGTGTCACTGCAGACCAGCAGAGGGCACCAGATCTCATTACAGATGGTTGTGAGTCATCATGTGGTTGCTGGGAATTGAACTCAGGACCTTTGGGAAGAACAGCCATTGTTCTTAACTGCTGAGCCATCTCTCCAGCCCCATGCATGAATATTTTATTTTAAATTTTGTTTAATTTATTTATTTGCTGGGTGGATGGGGGCAGACAGATACCGCAGTGTTCCTACAGAGCTCAGAGGACAGTTTATGTGAGTCTGTGGGTCTGAGGACAGAACTCAGCTCACCAGGGTTGGTAGTGACCCCTTTACCTGCTGAGCCACATTTCCAGCCCCATATACTGTTTATTTTTTGAGATACAAGTCTCACGTGTAGCTCTGGCTGTTCTGGAATTTGTTATGTACAGAAGGCTGGTCTTGAACTCACAGAGATCCTGATGCCACTGTTTCCTGAGTGCTGGGATTAAAGGTGTGAGCCACCAAGTCTGACTATGTCTTGAGATTTTTCCTTGTTGCCTGTGTCCCAGGCTGGTCTTGAATTTACAGTCCTCCTGCCTCAGCTTCCCAAATAGTTCAGATTAGAGACATTAGCCATTGTGCTTTCTTTCTTTTTGTAAAGTGATGGCAGTTAAGCTATATAGACGAGGCCGGGAATGGATATGCAAAAATGAACTCTATCTGTGGCCTGGAACTAATCTCCAAACAATACTGGTTTGATCTGGATTGGGAAGGGACCCCCCGGGTTTGTTTGGCTACATGCTGGCCTCCCAGAAGTCCTGTGCACTCAGTGGGCTGCCCATGTTTCCCTTCTCCAGTGTGCAAGTATGTGGCAGTGGAGTTGAAGTCAGCTTTTGAAGAAACGGGGAAGACTAAGGAAGTGATCGGTACAGGCTATGGCACTCTGGACCGGAAGGCCTCCGGAGTCAAGTACACCAAGTCGTAAGTCAATGGAACTTGGTGCCTGGCCTGCTTCTGATTTGGTTTTGTATGGTAGGGTTTGGGGATGAAGGCTGAATAAGGAATGAAGCTGTGGGTCCTGTTTTCCTTCTGTCCAGGCAGACTTTGGTCACAATAATGGACTCAACTTTGTCCACTGACTCTGCCACTAAAGGTTATGTGACCTTCATAAATCCTTTCTCTGTGCCTCAGATTCCTCCTCTGGAAAAGTAAGACTATGACCAGGCGAATCCCTGGTGAATCCCTGAAGCCACAAGGTCTCACCGCCAGTGTAATTTATAAAAAATATTTCTGGGCAGTAAGGACACACATCTTTAATCCCAGTGTGTGGGAGGCAGGGGCAGGTGGATCTCTGAGTTCAAGGCCAGCCTGGTCAATAGATCTAGTTCCAGGACAGCCAGGGCTACAAAGAGAAACCCTGTCTCAAAAAAATGAAATAAAACAAGCAAGCAAACAATTGCTAACATGAGATTACCAAAGTTTTCTTTTTAATTAGCTATTTTTGGGGCAGGGTTTCTCTGTGCAGCCCTGGCCGTCCTGGAATTCACTGTGAAGACCAGGTTGACCTTGAACTCACAGAGTTCTGCCTGCCTCTACCTTCTCAGTGCTGGGATGAAAGGTGGGCATCAGATGGATTACCAGATTTTGATTTTGTCAGATAAAAATATAAAAAACAACATCAGTTAAGATCATCTTTCCAAAATGACATGAGGGGGACTGGAGAGATGGCTTAGCGGTTAAAAGCACTTGTTTCTCTTTCAGAGGTCCAGGGTTCAATTCCTAGCCCCACATAACAGTGTACAGCCATATATAACTCTAGTTCCAGGGCTCCGACGCCCTCCTCTGGTCTGTTTGGATACTGCAAGCACAGTACAGAACACAGACAGACATACACATAACATAAAAGTTGAAAGGATTAAAGAAGCTGGGTGGTGATGCTTTGTAGATCAAGCTAGTCTTAAATTCACAGAGATCCACCTGCCTCTACCTCCCGAGTGCTGGGATAAAGGTGTTCACCATCATCGCCTGATAGCAACACCTAAATTATAAAACAATTTTTTTAATTAAAAAAAGACATGCTTTGCTATCAGAATGATGCGTGTCTAGTTACAGTGGACACACCATAGTCCCTGCACTTGAAGAAGGTGGAGCTGGAAGATTATTGCACGTTTGAGGCCTCCCAGACCTAACCCTAAGAGTTCTAGGCCATCCAGAGCTACATAGAGGTAGAACACAAGTCTAGGCAAACAAAAAGATACATGTTGGGCATGGCATCTCAAACCAGTCATCCCAGCAGCTGAGAGGGAGGATGATGACAAGTTTTAATTTCCCACCCTACTTGGGCATGATGGCTAATATTAATTCCAACCTGACAGACTCTGAATCCCATGGGGGATGGGCCCCTGGCTGTGTCTGTGAAGGGTTATCTAGATTAAGGTTAGCCTCTGAGAATGCCTATAGAGATTTAGCATGACAACAGACCATTAATCCATTAATTATATAGCAAGACTTTTGTTGTTGCTTTGTTGTTAAACAAGACATCGAGACAGGGTTTCTCTGTGTAGCCCTGGCTATCCTGGAACTCGCTCTGGACCAGTCTTGCCAAGAATTCATAGGGATCTGCCTGTCTCTGCCTCCCAAGTGCTGGGATCAAAGGTGTGCACCACACCTGGCCATGTTTTCAGTTTTAAATGAGTGAATTATTAAGTATACAGCAAGCCAAAGTAAAAGAATAAATAGCAGATAGGTGGATGGCTAGGAAGAAGGAAGGATGGACAGGCAGCATTAAATGAGGTGTCAGAACACCCAGAAGAAACTGATTGGGGAAGCCTTGTAAAGCAGCCAGTTAGAGTTCTACGTTAGAAATCCCTACGGACTAGTGTCCGCTCAAGCAAGACTTCAAGCAGAAGAACAGCAATGGAGGTAAAAATCAGATCAAGCTCTCACCAGCATCCACCAGAAACTAGGGAGTTGAGACAGTCAACTAGGGTTTCCAGTTGAGCTTTCTGTCCATGGATAAGCCAGTCACGGCTGAACACCTGACTTCTCTTTCCTATGCCAGGCATTTGTCCTGGGATAAGCGGTGATAGACCTGTTGGAAATCGTTTACCTTCTGTCTGGGCTCAAGGGCACAGGATTCAGAACCAGCCAGGAGATGAGTCTCTCTGCATGCCCATTTTACTGTTTTCCCTGCCACAGAGTGGGGACCAGCCCATCCCTAGACAAGAAGCCAAAAGGGGGCGTGCAGCACGTGGGACATCCCTACTTCCAGAGTTAGCTTTTCAGTGAGCTCAGACAACACATGGTGGTCCATGACATACATTTCACCGTGATTGGCACTCATATTGATGTCTATAGACTATTGATCCTTTTGCTTTGTCTGGTACATGTTGGTTTACTTAAAAAGAAAAAAAAAATTGCAACGGCCAGGTAGGCAAACCTTCCAACCAGATGAGTAACCCTTCCAACCAGATAGATAAGCCTTTCAACCAGATGGATAAGCCTTCTAACCAGACAGGTAAGCTTTGCCACGCTCAGCATATACAGCTCTGCCAGATCCCAAAGGAGACGATGAAGTCATGATTTCATGTGCAGACAAATGACTTGAAAGATGCAGTGGCACATCCCTTTACTCCCGGCATCTGGGAGGCAGAGGCAGGTGAATCCCTGAGTTCAACACCAGCCTGGTCTGCGTGGCGAGTTCTAATCCAGCCAGGGCTGCATAGTGAGACCCTGTCTCCAAAAAATAAAGAGGAAGCCCTGTTCATGATAACTAATAGTGAAAAATTAAAAGTACTATTTAAAAGAAGGCGGCACGCTTTGCTTTACAGGAAAACACTGGGAACGGCAGAGCACTTGTCTGTCCATGCAGAGCACTTGTCTGTCCATCGTGCATGATGCCCTGGGTTTGATGCCAGGACCACAGATACCTTTAAAAAGTTGGGGTGGGCTCCAGCAATTAGGAGACTGGTGCATCTCTGTGAGTTTGAAACCAGCCTCAGCTACAGAGCAAATTCCAGGGCTGCCAGGGCTACACAGAGAGACCCTTTCTCAAAAAAATAAAAGAAAAAAATAAGTGGGAGGTGGAAGGGCGTCGGGGAAGCAGTTAGGGATACTACTGCTCTTCTAGAGTCTTCTAGAGGACCTGGGTTCAATTCAGACAGCACACCACACACACACACACACACACACACACACACACACACACACACACACACACACACTTTATAACAGCTCTGGCTCTCTGCCTGTCTTGGAATTCACCGCCCAGCAGAAGTAGATACTTTTAAAGTAAAAACAAGTAGGTTGGTTTGGGGTGAGACTCAGTGGTGGAGCTCTTGGCTGGCCTGGGCAAGGCACTGGCTTTAATCCAGGTTCTGTAAATGTGCCCTGCCCCCCATTCACACACAGATCCTTCCCTTAGATCTGTTAACCCTTGTCTCTCTGGTCTGTGCATTTCAGAGCCCCCAGGCCAGATGACCTATCTCCCTTCCAGCTCTGCCTTCCCGTTGGTGAGATGTGCAGGCGTTGGGCAGCAGGGCTGGAGGGACTGACCGCTACTCTGTGGGGTTGGGAAGAGAACTTAGCTCCTCTCCTGCTGCTCTCTCGGCAGGGACTTACGGTTAATTGAAGTCACTGAGACCATTTGCAAGAGGCTTCTGGACTACAGCCTGCACAAGGAAAGGACGGGCAGCAACCGATTTGCCAAGGTTGGCTTTATGCTTGTGCCTCATACCCCCTGGAGCTGGGCCCTGTGGGTCTGTGTGTGTGTGTGTCTGTGTGTGTGTGTGGGTGGGTCTGTGTGTGTGTGGGTGTGTGGGTGGGTCTCTGTGTGTGTGTGTGGGTCTGTGTGTGTGTGGGTGGGTCTCTGTGTGATTGTGTGGGTCTGTGTGTGTGTGTCTGTGTGTATGTGTCTGTGTGTGTGTGGGTGGGTCTCTGTGTGTGTGTGGGGGTCTGTGTGGGTCTGTGTGTGTGTGTGTGTGGATGGGTGGGTGGGTCTCTGTGTGTGTGTGTGGATGGGTGGGTGGGTCTCTGTGTGTGTGTGTGTGTGTCTGTGTGTGGGTGGGTGTGTGTAGATGGGTGGGTGGGTCTCTGTGTGTGTGGATGGGTGGGTGGGTCTCTGTGTGTGTGTCTGTGTGTGTGTGTGCACGCGTCCCACACACACCCTCTTTTCTTTCCTCTCTCACATTCTTGGATAGCTGTTTGTATTTCTTGCTGAGAATTGACTCTGCGGTGGCATAAGGTGTATTTATGATGGCCTGGGCTTGTCCCAGGTTACACCTCCATGTCAGGAAGAGGTGGAAATGCCCCGGGCTGGCAACTCACATGGGTATCAGAAACACTACGACTCAGCAAGATTCTCATGGCAGTGTGCCAGGGAGATGCCAGAAGACAGACATGGTGCATTGTAATCCAAGCACTTGCCTCCCAGGTGGAGTTCAAGGCTAGCCTCAGTTACATAGTCAGGTTGAGGCTGGCCTGGGCTACAAGAAATCCTGTTTTAACAATTAAAATAAAAATCAGTGATTGTCAGTTCCTCCCGTGAGTCACCCAGATCGACCCCCCCCCCCAGGCCCCTAGTGGTGCCTGTGTACCCAGGTGCTTTTCCCCGAAGAAGGAAGGAGCTGTAGGTTCTTGTCCCTGTCTTCCATGCCTGCCACATTTTCCTCCTGAGTTTCCTTCTGTCTGAGGATGTCAGGCATAGCCCCTGAGACCCCTTAGTATTTCAAGTAGAAATCTTAGGTTTGTCTAAAACTTACATGGATTTAGTTAGTCCATGATTGTTTTCATAAAAAGTGTTTCAAATTATTTTCCTCTGCCCAAGTGCTGTGTCACATACCTGTTTGTCCCAGAATTTAGGAGGCAGAAAGACCTGAACTTTGAGGTCAGCGTGGCTACACAAGCGACAAAGTACAAAAACCTGGTTGCAAAGTATTAGAAACTTTCTGTTAACCAGCAGAGCATGGGTTATACTAGGTTGTGCAAACCAAAAACTAAAGCCAGGCAAGGGGTGCACATGGGTAATCCCAACACTCAGGAAGCAGAGACAGCTGGATCTCTGAGTTTCTAATCCAGGCAAGGGGGTGCACATGGGTAATCCCAGCACTCAGGAAGCAGAGACAGCTGGATCTCTGAGTTCTAATCCAGGCCAGCCTACACAGCAAATTCTAGACCACATAGGGCCACATAATCAGATTCTGTCTCCAAAAAAAGGGCGGAGGTGGCGAGGTGGGGAACCATGGGAGGCGAAGGCCCTGTGACATGCCTACTGCTTATGTAGCAGAGCTGTGGGGAAAGGTGGATTCCATTTTCCCGTTTTGTTTTTTTTTTTTTTCATGCAGGGTTTTAAGCCAGGGCTTTGCACAAGCCAGGCCAAGGTGTGTGTGTGTGTGTGTGAGAGAGAGAGAGAGAGAGAGAGAGAGATCTCTAGGAAGGGGGAAAGTGGCAGTGGGTAGTGAATTCTCTGGGGACAAGAGCTAGCTGGGAAGCGACTGTAGTTTTTGCACAGCATAAAGAGTGCTCTATGCCTCGCTGTACTCTTCCTATCAAGCACAGACACGGCAAGGAAGAACATGGTGAGTGGGCACAGGGGAGGCCTTCTTACACTGGAACACTCCTTGGAGCTGGAGAGCAGGCTCAGCGGCTCAGAGCACGGACTGCTCTTGCAGAGGACCCAGGTTTGGTTGTGGTGGTTCACAACCATCTGGAACATGGTGGTTCTGTGGGCACCAAACACGCACATGGTGCAGGCAGAACACACACACAATAAAGTTAATGAATCTGATAAAAACATTCTTTTAAAAGTCAGGTGTGGTGGTGCACGCCTTTAATCCCAGCACTCTGGAGACAGAGGCAGGAGGATCTCTGTGAATTCGAGGCCAGCCTGGTCTCCAGGACAGCTACAGTTGTTAACACAAAGAAACCCTGTCTTAAAAAACAAAACACTTAAGAAAAACACTTGCAACCCCTTTTCACCCAATAAATGTTTATGTCACCCTGGGTATATAGGTATTTTGCTTAAGTGTAGACATCATCAGACCGTTCTTAGGCTTAGGGAGATGGCTCAGTGAGTTAAGTGTAAGGACTGAGTTTGGATCCCTAACATCCTTTAAAGCCAGATGTAGTGGGATGTGCTTGTTATCCCAGTGTTCTGCAGCATGAGGGAGGTGGGCACAGAGAATCCACAGAAGCTCATGGCCATTTGCAAGTGGCAAATGAGAGACCTGTCCCAACAGGGTTGAAGGGAAGATTAGCACCCAGGGTTGGGCCTGTCTCCATATGTGCATCCATAAACACACAAAAACTAAAAACAAACAAATGTCAGCTGAGTGCCCGATACTGTAGGACACAGTGTCCTACTGTAGGACAAAGCATCTTTAATGCTTTTCAGAGTTGGTTTATTTTTTGATTTTGTAGTTGTAAGTGCTCAGAGCCTCTGCTCTATGTACATACTTATCCAGCATTGCAGAAGTTTGGAAATCTGTCCTCAAACCAAGTCTGTATCTTTACTAAATGCTTTTTATGAAATTCAGGTCAGGTTTGTATGAAATGCAAATAGCAGCTTTCATTTATCTGTCTGTTTATTGTGAGGCAGTCTCTCTGTTATGTAGCTCTGGCTGACCTGGAACTCATTCTATAGACCAGGCTGGCCTCAAACTCTGAGATCCACCTGCATCTGTCTCCCAGGTGCTGGTATTAAAGGTATGCACCACCACACCCGGCTTGTTTTTATTTTCTTTTTTTAAATTTTGAGACAGGATCTCAACTATATGATCCTGTCTGACCTAGAAGTTAATTGTTTAAATTTTGAGACAGGGTCTCAACTATATAATCCTGTCTGACCTAGAAGTTAATTGTGTAGACCAGGCAGGCTCTGAACTCGCAGAGATCCATCTGTCTCTGTCTCATCTCTGGGATCATAGGATTAAAGGTCTGACCTGCCACTCCCAGCCTTAAACTACAGTTAAAAAAAAAAAAAAAAAAAAAAATCAAACATTTTAGCATAATACAGCCCCAAAATATTTATTTGATCCTATAATGGTGATAGGGAAGTATTTGAAGTATTTTTTCCATAACTAAAACCATTTGTTTGCGTAAGAGTGTCCAGCCGCATGGATGGGATGGAGCCAAGGACATCTTAATTCCTGGGGGGAAAAAATCTAAATTCATAGGCCAGAGAGTGACAGCGGATAGATTTGAGCATACCTCATTGAGGGACAGGTTAGGGGTGGTAGAAGGCCAGCCTGAAAGAGGGAGAGAGGTCAAGGCTAAGAGCGAGAAGCTCTATATGGATGGACATCTTGGACCCAGGTTCTCAAACACCAGAGAGAGGGAGGGAGGTAGAGATTGGGGCTGCGTCCATCCTGGTTACCTCTTCCAGGGCATGTCAGAGACCTTCGAGACCCTGCACAACCTAGTCCACAAAGGGGTCAAGGTGGTGATGGACATCCCCTACGAGCTGTGGAATGAGACCTCTGCCGAGGTAGCCGACCTCAAGAAGCAGGTAAGGGCCCTGCAGCCCGCTGCGCTCGCTCAGTGGGGTGGGTAGGGCTGATCCCACACTGAGGAAGGCTACCAAGAGCCATTCCTTTATTTATCTATCCTTCCTGTCTGTCTGTCCACCTACCCACCCATCCATCCAGCTATTGGAGATAGGTTCTCACTGTGTAGCCCGGCTTACCTGGAACTCACTCTGTAGAACAGGCTGGACTCAAACAGAGACCCACCTGCCCCTGCCTCCAGAGTGCTGGGATTAGAGGCGTGTGCCATTTCTGGCACCTTTTACTTTTGCCTCAGTTTCCTCGGGCCGGCGCGTGGTACCTGCCCGTCTATCTGTGTATGGGCCGTGGTGTAGCCAGGTGCCTGGGAGAGTTGGGGCATTGCCAGTGCCTGGTGCTGTGCTCCACAGTGTGACGTGCTGGTGGAGGAGTATGAAGAGGTGATCGAGGACTGGTACAGGCACCACCAGGAGGAAGACCTGACTGAATTCCTCTGTGCCGACCACGTGCTGAAGGGCAAGGACACCAGTGAGTGATGGCTGGGGCGGCGTCCGCGTTCCCTCAGGGGAGGTGGGTAGCATAGGGTGGGAAAGTCGAGGAGATGAGGTGAGGTGATGGCCTCAGGCACAGGAGCAGGAGGACTGAGCCTGGACGCTCGAGAGGCATCCACTGTCGTCGTCCCTCCTAGCAGCTGCCCCCCCCCCCCAGCAAGCTGGCCTGAGGCCTTTCTGTACCTTCCCTCAGGTTGCCTGGCAGAGCGGTGGTCTGGCAAGAAGGGGGACATCGCCTCCCTAGGAGGGAAGAAATCTAAGAAGAAGCGTGGCAGGGTCAAGGGTTCCAGCAGCGGCAGCAAGCAGAGGAAGGAGCTGGGGAGCCTGGAGGGGGATGCCAGCCCCGAGGAAGAGGAGGGTGTGCAGAAGGCATCCCCCCTCCCACACAGCCCCCCTGATGAGCTGTGAGCCCACCCTAGGGTCCTTGACTCAAGACCCCGACTTGAGGGGGCGAGAGCATGGGCGTGGCTCCAGCGAGGATGGCTGTTGCCCAGCTTCCGGTCTCCTACCTTGACCATGCCCTCTTTCTGCCCTTGAGCAACAGCAAGAAGTGGACTGATCGGGGGTGGAGAGGAGGGGGTGCAGAAGGCAGCTCTTGCTACACAGCCCCCCCCCACGAGCTCCGGGTCCAACCCAGCATCCCCAAGCTGAGACCTCTGACCTTGGAGCTGAAGAGCTTGAGACACAGACGATGACTCGTGCAGTGCCCGGGTTCCCACTTGCCTGTACCCTCTTCAGCAGGGTGGACACAGGCCCAGGGAGGCAGCCAGACCCACCTCTTGCTCCGCCAAGCCTTCTACTCTGCTGGTCAGGTCACGAATTTCCAAACTTCCAGGATGAACTCTACACCATGTGGCATAAGGGGCTGAGCGGCAGAGCTGGAGCCAGTCCAGAGCCTGCAGAGAGGGCACCTCAGCTGACCCCACCTCCACCGCTCGCAAGGACACCGTGTGCTCTGCCCAGCCCCCCTCCCCAGGGCTACCAGAGTAAACACCTTTTGGCCTTTCAGTCGGTCGCTCTTCCTGGGCCCACTTCAGCCTCCAGAGTGAGCCCTTGTTGCTCCTTTCTGCCTGTCTCTCCCAGTCCCGGGCCTGGGTAGGCGACGATGCTGTCACCCTCATTGGAGGCTTGACCTACCAGTTACTAGGAGTAGGAGGAGCAGGTGCTGACTGCTGAGAGCCAGGGCTGGTTTGGGTTAAAGCAGTGGTCCTCCCCCCCCCAACACTGCAACCCTTTAACACAGTTCCTCATGTTCTGCTGACCCCCCCCCCATAAAATTATTTTCGTTGCTACTTCATAACTGTCAATGTGCTACTGTAGAATCTTAGTTTTGGGTTTTTGGAGATAGAGTTTTGTCAAAGGGGTCCCAACCCAAAGACTGAGAACCCTGGGTTAAAGGTAGGGTGTGGTGGGATGAAACCCAGCGTAATGACTGACCTTGTCCTCCCGCTGACCCTCATACCCCAGCTACCTGTGCTACCCAAGGCCCCTCCCACTCTATTCCTGGTGCCTCCTGTGCCCTGTGTCCTGGGCGCCTGGCTGCCCTCCTTCCCTCTACCCCAAGGCTTAGCTGGCCGTTGTGTAAAGAGTGTGCACACCAGTTCCCGACCGTCCTGCCGTGTTCTGGTCTTGCCTGTTCTTGAACCTTGCTCCCTAATTGATCACATTTGGTTTCTCTGAGTTTAGGGGCTGGGGGGGGGGCTGGGGCCCGGGGTTAGTCAGGGAACCCAGCCTCTGGATCATCTGGGTGATGGTCAGTCTCTGACCATCCTGTCATTAACCCGCAGCACTTCCTGTCCCAGAGCATCATTGATCCCAAGAGCAGGATGAAGCAAAGCCCTCTCCGGGTTGACCCAGCGACCCAATCCAGGTCTGGTCCAGGCCTGAGGCATGTGTGTGGGGACTGCCTCTCTTTGACCTTGAGCTCTTGCAGGGATTGTCCCTGCCTCCCAAGGACGGGGTATTGTACCCTCACTGGCCCCTATGCCAGTGCCCACCCTGCAGGCAGGCAGGCATATCTGGCCGTGTCGCTAGGCAAAGGCAGGTCTGGCTGCCCAGACTGGTGTCCCTACACTTTATAGACACCTGTGGTGTTACCTACACTTTGCTGACTTCCCACCCAGCTGCATTAGCTGAAGCTGGAGGTGGGCTGAGTCCCTCATCAGAGATCGTCGGTAAGAGCAGAGTGACCTCAAGTGCTTACAGGGAGGGTGCTCTAGAGACCAGCTGGACTGGACCTGCTACACTCCACGCTTCACTGTGTGTGTGTGTGTGTGTGTGTGTGTGTGTGTGTGTGTGTGTGTGATATGTGCATGCTTGTTTAGTCGACAGGTCTGTCTAGGTAGGACTTGCTAGTCAAGGCTGGCACTGCAGTTGTGTGCCAGCTGTGTTACAACCATGTGCCATGCCCTGCTCTTGCGGAACTCACCAGCAGTTGGAAATAAAGGAGTAGGACTCTAGGGGAGTCAGTGTGTCTGGGGCCTGTCCTCACAAGTGACTTGCTAGACCCTAAGGACTGCCAGTTACCAGTGTGATCCCATCAATTTACTATGGAGCTGGATCAAGCTCAGGGCCTCACCATGCAAGGTGAGTGGTTTCCCCCCTGAGCTACATCATCAGCCCTATTGGTAATTCTACAGGTGACATTTCTCCAGCAGCTTTTAAATCCCTGAGCACTTCCCAGGTCCTTGGGCACGGACCAGCCTGCCCTCCCTCTTAAGTGTTCTTTTCCCTGGGAGGAGGTCTGTGGGAGTAAGGAAGAGGAAAATAAAAATGTGTCCTACACTGCTTAGTTTTTCAGATCCATCCAGCTCGTCCTTTTGTATGCGGATTGCCCTGGCAAGTCATGACTACATAGCAAGACTGTCTAAAACACAAAGTAGGTCTGGCGTGGTGCTACAAAGGGAGGCCCTGGGTCAAAGCCAGAATTGGCTAGGGTTGCTCAGTGGATCAAGGCGCTTACTACCAAGCCTGACCAGTCATTTACCCACCATTGAGGCCTGACCAGTCATTTACCCACCATTGAGGCCTGACCAGTCATTTACCCACCATTGAGGCCTGGCCAGTCATTTACCCACCATTGAGGCCTGGCCAGTCATTTACCCACCATTGAGGCCTGGCCAGTCATTTACCCACCATTGAGTTATTACTACATGTTTCTCCCACCAGTTTATTTTTGTTTTTATTTGTTTTGTTATTTTGAGACAGGGTCTCACATGTCCACCTGCCTCTGTCCCTGAGCACTAGGATTAAAGGTGTGTGTGTGTGGCACCTCTGCATTGCAACAAGTCGTGTGTGTGTGTGTGTGTGTGTGTGTGTGTGTGTGAAGAATGTGTCTTCTAGTGGGGTGTGGTAGTGCATAATCTCAGCATATAGGAGGCAGAGGCAGGAGGATTGCCACAGTTTCAACACCAGTCTGGTTTGTATACAAGATCTTGGCCAGCCAGCTAGCCAGCTACAGAGTGAGACCTTCCTCCCCCTCTCGCCCCCCCCCATCAAAAGAGAGAGAGAAATCTAGTTCTATAGTTAGATCTATCTAATTCCAGCATTTAGGAGACTGAGGCAGGATTGCCTGGAGCTCCAGACCTACACAGTGAGACCCTGTCTCAGAACAGAATTTAAAAAAATCTGGGGCCAGACAGATAGCTCAGTGGTTAAGAACACTGGCTGCTCTTCCAGAGATCCTGAGTTCAATTCCCACCAACCACTTGGTGGTTCACAACCATCTATAATGAGATCTAGTGCCCTCTTCTGGTGTGTAGGTGCACATGCAGACAGAACACTGTATAAATAAATATATAAATAAAGCCTAAAAAAACCGGATGCTGGGTTCAACAACATCCCCTCCCCGACACTAGTAAATAACCTTTCTACCTCCACAAAAATGATTTTACTGCAGAGAGATCCCAGCCTCCTAGAGGTGGTCACACGGGCTTCCCTGCAGAGAGGGTGCACAATGTGCTACCTCCGTTGGGAAGGAAATTCTCGTTTGAGCCGTTGGGAAGGAAATTCTCGTTTGAGCCAGTGTCTCACGCTGTAGTCTAGGCTGGAACTCACTTAGCAAGCTGTTCTCACATTTGTGGAATTCTCCTGCCTCAGCCTCCCAACTCTAGGATTGAAGTCTGAGCCATATTGTCCAGGTGAATTCCTTTTCCTGATTTTTGAAATGTTTTACTTTGTTGCTTGGGCTGGCCTTGAACTCCTGAGCTCACATGACTTCCTGCCATAGCTTCCTGAGTAGCTGAGACTCTACAGGTGTATGCAGGGACCCATGAATACAGTCATCTAAGCTGTGTATAGTGGTTCATGCCTATAACCCCAACTACCAGGAAGCTGAGGCAGGAGGCTTGCTTTCAAAACTAGACTACATAGTACCAGGCCAGCCAGAGCTACAAAATAAGACCCTAAATGGTGCTTCTCAACCTGGGGTCATGACCCCTCTGGAGCTAAAGGACCTTTCACAGGACCACATATCGGATATCCTGCATATCAGATTTTATGATTCATAACTAGCAAAACTGCAGTTATGACGTAGCAGTGAAATAATTTTATGGTTGGGGGTCACAGCGTTAGGAAAGTTGAGAACCATTGGTCTAAAACAAGGCCAGCGAGATGGCTCAGCAGGTAAAAGCGCCTGCTCCAAAGCCTGACAAATGGCCGAGTTTGAGGTCAGGAATCAGCTCTCGCATGTCCATGCCATGCATGCGTTTTTTCTGAACACACAAATTTGTTGTTTTTTGAGACAGGGTCTCTACATAGCTCCGGCTGTCCTGGAACTCACTATGTAGACCAAGCTGGCCTTGAACTCACATAGATCCAGCTGCCCCTGTCTCCTGAGTGCTGGGATTAAAGGTGTGTAACTACCACACCTGGCTCCCCAATTTTTTTGCGTTGTTTTGTTTTTCCAGACAGGGTTTCTCTGTATTGCTGTGGAGCCTGTCCTGGAACTCGCTCTGTAGACCAGGCTGGCCTCGAACTCACAGCGATTTGCCTGCCTCTGCCTCCCGAGTGCTGGGAGAGCACCACCAATGCCCGGCCAGCTCCCCGATTTTTAAAACCTAAGTAAATAAATGAAAAGATGATCATTTAAGATGAGATTTGAAAAAAGTCTAGGGTTGATAGATTTACTCCAAGAATATTTAGGTAAATGACATTGGATCTACTTGACATTCCCAAATATAAATTCTCTCTTCCCTCTGCAGGGACTGGCATTGCCCAGATTGGCCTTGAATTTATGTAGCCTAGAATAACCTTGAACTCCTCCAGGCTCTCATCCCCCAGGCTCCCAGGTACTGGAAATGCAGGTGTGCACCATCACACCCAGGCTTCAGAATCTGTCTGAGCAGAGTGTCACAGACCTGTCTGAGGGCCACTGAGCCCTGGTTTTGTATTATTTTGAGCCTGGACAGAACCATTGAAGATTGGCTGTGTACTAACAATAAAAAGTAACAACGGCACCAAAAAAAAAAAAAAAAAAAAAAAAAAAGCTCAACTGTTAAAAGCCGTGGCTGCAGCTGGGAGGTGGCGGTTCACATGTTAGTTCCAGGACTCCATAGGCAGAGCAGGTGGATCGCTGTGAGGTCAGCCTGGTCTACAGAGCGAGTTCCAGGACAGCCAGGGCTACACAGAGAAACCCAAACCCTGTCTGCAGTCCATAGGATCTAGGTTCCACACCCCAGCACCCACACGATGGCTCAGTGGTCTGTAACTCCAGGTCCACGGGATCTGATGCCCTCTCCTGGTTTCCACAGGCACAGTACACCTGCAGCGCACTGGCATCTAAGCACGCAAAGCAACTATACACATTATTTAAAAAGTTCAAAAACGATTGCGCAATCGCGGGTGTTCGCCCAGCCCCTCTTAGGAGAGGGCTCAGTGTAGCTCAAGGACTGAATGGCCCAGATTACCTTAGGAGGCCCCTGGCCTGAGAAAGGATGGGAGGAGGGAGGGGGCCTGATGTCACCTAGAGAGACACACCTGTCTCCGAGTGGACTCGGCTCTTTTCCTTGAGTGGGCACATCAGCATCTTTCCCAAAGACTTTGTCATCACCCCGAGACACAGTGCCCTCTTCAGTGGGGTGTTCCTTCTGTGGACTATTAGCAATGGGACAACCTACTGTGCTGGTCTAATTCTGCTTTTCGTGGATTCCAAACGTTTCTTCCCTTTCCCACGTGGGTAGGGATGCCTTGGGCACTCGTTGAGCTACCTTCTCTGGGCTCCTTCCACCTCCTGGCCACCGATCTGCGTTCTATCTTTTCTATCTTCTTATGGGGAAAACCAGGTCCAGGATTGCTTGACTGAGCCATCCATCCCCACTGCGGAGGCAGCCTGGCTCTATTCCCGGGGCTCAGGGCCCAGCAGGGGCGTATCCCCTCTCTCACCTGCCATTGGTCAGGTGGGGCTGCCCTGCCTGAGGAGTTTAAGTGCGGAGCTCGAGGCCTGATAGCCAGGCGCAGGTCAGGATGGTGGACAGCATTTACCGTACGCGCTCCCTGGGGGTTGCAGCAGAAGGTCTGCCGGACCAGTATGCGGACGGGGAGGCCGCCCGCGTGTGGCAGCTGTACATCGGGGACACGCGCAGCCGCACGGCAGAGTACAAGGCGTGGCTGCTTGGGCTGCTGCGCCAGCATGGTTGCCATCGGGTGTTGGACGTAGCCTGTGGCACAGGGTGAGTACAAACGAGCTGAGCTGAGAGACTGCTTTGGCCAGGACCACTGCACCACAAGAAGGCCAGTAGGGGCAGCCTTGGCGGGCGGGAGCCTTGCAGGCAGCACTGGCGAGTCAGGAGTCCCCGGGGTAGAATGGGCACGGTGAGAGCACCTGTGGGGAGGGGACCAAGGAGACTTGGCCAGGGGCGAGGGTGCAAGCGGAAAAGGATTCATAGGACAGCGAGAAGGCCGGACTTCGAGTCAAGCTGGATCCTTGGCCATAGTAGTGCTGCTCCTCCTGTGATGGCCTCGGGCCGTGTGAACAGACCATTTGTGCCACGTTTGTACAGCCAAGTGTTGTGCCAAGAGATTGGGTACATGTGTTTCAAATCATAACGAAAACCCATAAGGTAAGTAGTGCTTTTCTCCAATTAGCACCAAGGAAGCTCCAATTAGTACGAAGCCTGCATTTGATTGAGTGGTTACAGACCAGGACAGTTAGTGTCTGGCCCACGCTCCCACTCAGCACAGGACACACACTGACTTTATTTCCAGGAGCCATGGTAGGCCTAGTTCTCAAAAGCACATTTGTATAGTGCCTGGTTCTGATCGTCTTTTCTTTCTTTTTCCCAGACATGGTTTCTCTTATAGCGTTGAAGGCTGTCCTGGAACTTGTTTTGTATAGACCAGGCTTGGCCTCAAACTCAGAGATCCACCTGTCTCTGCCTCCCGGATGCCCGCTCTGATTATTATTATTGTTTTATTTAAATGTTGAGCTGGAGAGATGATTCAGCCACTAAGAGCCTCTGCTGCTCTTGCAGAAGACAGGTGTTCAGCTCCTGGTGCCTACACCAGGTGGTTCATAATGGCTTGTAACTCAATTCCAGGAGACTAAAGTGCCCTCTTCTGGCCTTGGACTCACATGCACATATGCCAACAAATTAAAATTTAGGCTAGGTGAAGCAGGCCTTCAATCCTTGGGAGGCAGCACTTGGGAGGCAGGGGCAGGTGGATCTCTGTGAATTCATGGCTAGCCTGGTCTACAGAGTGAGTTCCAGGATAGCTAGAGCTACACAGAGAAACCCTATATCTTGGGGGGGGGGGTGTTTAAAATTTAAGTTAAAAGTGTTGCTGCCAGGTGTGGCACATACCCTTAATCCCAGCACCCACATAGGTGGATCTCTGTGCATTCCAGGGCATCCGGGTTACAACATGAGATCCTATCTCTAATAAATAGGGAGAGCTGGAGGGATGGCTTAGTAGTTGACCCAGCATCTTCTTCTGGCTTCTGAAGACAGCATGCAAGCATATGATGCACATATTCAGACAAGACACATAAAATTAAAATTTTAATTTTTTTTTCAGGCAGGGTCTTTCTTTGGAGCCCTGGTAATCCTGGAACTCACTGTGTAAACCAGGAATATACTGGTGCCAGATGGTGGTGGCACACACCTTTAATCCCATCACTCAGTAGGCAGAGGCAAATGGATCTCTGTGAGTTTGAGGCCAGCCTGGTCTACAGAGTGAGTTTCAGGACAGCTATGGTTACACACTGAAGCTCTGTCTCCATTAAAAAAGGGGGGAGGGGAATAAAGGAATATGCTCGTGTGTTCATCCGAGGTCAGTGGAGGGGCCCGAGACAAGAAGCTGAGGAAGGGACTATGAAATGGTACTTTGGCAAAATGCCCTGTGCATGGCCTCGTCCTTGGCCTCCCAGGCCTCCCTGACTGGTCCTCCCAGCCCCTCATCTCTGACCTCATCCAGGGTGGACTCTATTATGCTGGTGGAGGAGGGCTTCAGTGTGACGAGTGTGGACGCCAGCGACAAGATGCTCAAGTATGCACTTAAGGAGCGCTGGAACAGGAGGAAGGAGCCAGCCTTTGACAAGTGGGGTATGTAGGTCCGCCGGGGCCCTGGCCCTACACTCCCAGGTTACTCTTCTCTCTGCCCAGAGCTCTTTTGTGCAGTGGGCTGACCAGTCTTCCTCGGGATACAGAGCAGCTCCTGCCTTCCTAAAACGGAAGGCTTCCACATCAGAGTAAGAGACCAGGCATTAAGAATGATGCATTTCTGGTGCTGCGGATTGGTCCTGGGCGTGCCAGGCATTAAGAATGATGCATTTCTGGTGCTGCGGATTGGTCCTGGGCGTGCCAGGCATTAAGAATGATGCATTTCTGGTGCTGCGGATTGGTCCTGGGCGTGCCAGGCATTAAGAATGATGCATTTCTGGTGCTGCGGATTGGTCCTGGGCGTGCCAGGCATTAAGAATGATGCATTTCTGGTGCTGCGGATTGGTCCTGGGCGTGCCAGGCATTAAGAATGATGCATTTCTGGTGCTGCGGATTGGTCCTGGGCGTGCCAGGCATTAAGAATGATGCATTTCTGGTGCTGCGGATTGGTCCTGGGCGTGCCAAGCGGACACTTGACAGCGGCCATACTGCCACCTGCTCTGGCTAGGCTAGGTTCAAATGATTCTCCTGCCTCCCTTCCCAACCAGCAGGGACTAGAGGTGCACGCCATATACAGGGTTCCGCAGAACTTTTAACTGTCCATAGCATCCTGTCTCTGCTTCCTGTGAAAGCCCACTAAGTGGAGAGCTAGCTTTTCCAATGATGGTTCTCTCGCATCCTCCATGTCCCTGGGTGGGGGTGGCTGCTGCGTATTGTCATGCCACTGGCTCTGTCCTCCTTCCCTGGCCTCCAGTCATTGAAGAAGCCAACTGGTTGACTCTAGACAAAGATGTGCCAGCAGGAGATGGCTTTGATGCGGTCATCTGCCTCGGGAACAGTTTTGCTCACCTGCCAGACTGCAAAGGTGAGCTTGTGGCCCCGGCTGCGGCTTTTGCCTTGAGCTCCGCCACTTCTGAGATGGCTGGCTAGCTGCTTTGACGAGGCACATATGCTTTTTGCCCCTGAGCCTTAGTGCTGGCCCTTGAGAGGGAGACGGGAGGGTGCTGGAGGCCCAAGCAGATGGTGTCTGTGGCCCTGCCTGGCACCCAGGTGACCAGAGTGAGCACCGGCTGGCGCTAAAGAACATCGCAAGCATGGTACGGCCTGGGGGCCTGCTGGTCATCGATCACCGCAACTACGACCACATCCTCAGCACAGGCTGTGCTCCCCCAGGGAAGAACATCTACTATAAGGTGGGGCTGGCCAGAGGGAGAGATGTGAATCTGCTATAAGGAGGGGCTGGCCAGAGTGGGTGGTGTGTGAGCTGGGAGGCCAGAAGCCCCGTGGTGGCTTATGGAAGCTAATGTTGTTGCCTCCACTGCTTACAGAGTGATCTGACCAAGGACATCACAACGTCAGTGCTGGCAGTGAACAACAAAGCTCACATGGTAACCCTGGACTACACAGTGCAGGTGCCAGGCTCTGGCAGAGATGGCTCTGCTGGCTTCAGGTATGGCATGGTTTGGCAGGAGCGAGGAGATGGTGGTGGGGAGGAGTGAGGCCAGCAGCCCTCACACTTGGCTGGGGGCCCTGTTACAGTAAGTTCCGGCTCTCTTACTACCCACACTGTTTGGCGTCCTTCACGGAGTTGCTCCAAGCAGCCTTCGGGGGCAAGTGCCAACACAGCGTCCTGGGCGACTTCAAGCCTTACAAGCCCAGCCAGGCCTACATTCCCTGCTATTTCATCCACGTGCTCAAGAAGACAAACTGAAGGTGGCTCCTATAAGCCCCCTGCCCAGGCAACGGCAGCCTCTAGGGTGGGACTAACTCACGTCCTCACCCGAGACCAACCCCTAACACGGATACGGCGGCTGCACGCAGGGATGCGGGCCCAGGCAAACGGGGACTCGGCAATACAGTCTGTGCCTTTTTCAATCCCCTGTGCCTGTGTTTCTTTAAAAAGGAACATGCTTTCATGGTGTTCATCCCCTCCCCTCGACCTTACTCCTCCCAAAGCCTTGCCCTTTGCACGGCGGCAACCTCGCACAACACCAGCAGGGGGCGGTACAGACTTTATTTTCTGTTAGAACTGGTGCTTCCACACCAACTGCCCAGGCTGCCAAGCTCCCAGGCTGCCAGGGCTGGCTCTCCTGAGCACAAGGGCTTCCCACTATGGCTCACCAGGGATCTCCTGGAGGAAGGCAGGTTCAGGACATGACAGCAGGTACTTTCAGCAACGTGGGCAGATGCAGGCAAAGATGGCAGGTAGCGCCTAGCAGGCGGCAAACTTGCGCTGGATGCGCTTGTATCGGAGCAACTCCTGCTCGCTGACTGAAGGCTGCAGCCTGGCTGCGGCCTGCAACAGGTCCTCCATGGTCAGCAGCAGTGCTGAGCTCCCCGGCTCTAGCCCTGAGGAGTGGCAGGGCAGAGTGAGGACAGGGCCCACGATACCTGAGGGACCCAGGCCTGGGCTGAGCCTAGGAAGCAGAGAGCCCTGGGGGGGGGGGGTACCTTCCTGCTCAGCCGTCCCTGAAATTCAGGGCCAGGCCTGTCCCTCACTAGCTTTTTTGTTACCATCTGGGGCTAGTGAGTGGGCTCACCTTCCTCTAGGTCTCGAACCCTGCGTTTGAGGGCAGCTGTCATGGCGTCAGAGCAGAGGGAATAGAGGTCTGCACCTGTCAGCTGGGGCGGGCAGCGGTCCAGCACGTTCACCAGGCTCACAGAGGCCTCCAGCTTGAACCTGTTACCCCATACCAGAAATGTTAAAGCAGGCTTCAGCTCCCCGCTGAAAAGCCACACACACTGACTGACACACATCCCCTAGCCATCCCGAGGCCCCAGCCCCGGGACGAAGCATACTTGCGTGTGATGGCAGTCAGAACACGCAGCTGGGAAGCGCGGTCCTCGCTTGCCCCTACAAACACCAGCTTGTCGAATCTTCAGAGACAGAAGCAGGGAAAAGTGTCAGAGCTGCCAGCCAGCCCCAGCGGAGGTCAAGGGACAAGCCCAAGGGGGTCTGGTTGGGGAAAGGCCCAGGGCACCCACCTGCCAGGTCGCAGAAGGGCAGGATCCAGGAGGTCTGGTCTGTTAGTGGCTCCGATCACAAACACATCCTGAGTGCTGTGAAGGCCATCTAGCTCAGCCAAGAGCTGAGATACCACCCTGTAGAGAGGAGGCAGAGGCCAGAGAGTCCCTGTGTGCCCTCAGGCCGCCAATGCTTCTCTTTGAAGGCTACTTCAGCAAGGTCCCTTGCCGAGGTCTGTCCCTTTCCACACAGGCAGCCCTCCTTCTCAAAGTTCCACACCCAACTCCTCTTTTGCATCCATTCTACTAGCCCTGGATTGGAAGGGCAGATGCCAGATCTGAAGACTAATCTCACATCCCTCCCATGGGGGATCCCAGACTCCATTCCCATTCTGAACCCCTGACCTGTCCATCACACCTCCAGAATCTCCACTTCGACCCCGGCTTGGCGCTAAGGAGTCTAGTTCATCAAAGAAGATGATACACGGAGCAGCGGCCCTGGCCCTGGCGAATACTGAGAAAGAGGCTCCCAGGAGGGTTGTGTCAAGGAGCTTGAAGTCGGGGGAGAAGGATGGGAAATGGGCCTGGCCCTTCTAATTGGCCAACTGGGCTGACCATGGGGCAGCAGCTTGGGGGGGGAGGTGGTACAAGGGCCCCTGGGGATGGAGAGGACGGGGCTCCCCTCTCCCTGCTCACTCACCTTCCCGCACATTCTCCTCACTTTGGCCCACATACATGTTGATGAGCTCTGGTCCCTTTACGCTGAGCAATAGCAGGGGTGAGTACGGCCCATCAGACGTGTGCAGTGTACACAGCAGCCCTCTCTCCCGGCCTCCCACTTCCCTTCCGAGCACTGCCCACCTGAGGAAGGCGAGGCTGCACTCAGTGGCTACTGCCTTGGCCAACAGGGTCTTGCCAGTGCCTGGAGGCCCATGGAGTAGAAGGCCTGACCGCCTCAGGCCCAGGCTTAGCAGCTCAGGATGTTCCAGAGGCAGCTGGATGGTCTCCAGGATCTCCTTCTTCACATCCTGCAGCCCACCCACGTCATGCCAGGACACTGAAGGGATCTAGGAGACAGAGCAGTGTAGGGAGGTGCAAAGAGGGAGCGCCTGCCCGCCCTCGAGGACCTAGTCCTCACCTTGGGTGCGCCCACAGCTTGAGAGTGAGCTGTTTGCAGGTGATCTAAGGCTTGCCCAAAGTCCTCGGCCAGGAGGGGAAAGCCAGCCGCACACAGCTCCCCCTCATCCTCCTCACTCAAGCCACCTGCCGGACTACAAAGAGAAACAGAGCTAGGCTTACACCCGTAAGACTACACAGTGAGTTCTAGGGCAGCCAAGGCTAAGACACTGTCTTAAAAAAAAAAGGGGGGGGGGACCAGGCCAACCAGGCTATTGATTAAGATTCCCACAAACAACAGAGTGTGACAAGGCCACCTCTCAGCAGGTTCCACTGCCTTCTCCCCCCCTTCACCAGCCACCTTCCCCGGTGGCGAGTTCCTCTTACCCGGAGGCTCTGATCCTGGCACACGCTAAGCGGCTAGTGTGGGTCACAAGGGCGTAAAGGTCCCCTACCACGAAGCCCTAGGGAAACCATACAAAAGGACACTTGAGCATGGGGTGGCAGGCAGAGCCCATGGGGTCTGGGTTCCAGCTGAGCAGAGGCTTTGGTGGTGCCCCGTCTCTCAGGCCAGACACCGCCTCAGGCAGGACCAAAGTCCTAGGTGTGCCATGAACCTTACGCCCTCCCAGAGCCGGGGCGCCCGTGTAGGACTCACCGCGCAGCGCCATGCCAGCTGTGACAGGGCCACCTCCTGGCCCAAGGGGAGCCGGGCAGTGAGGGCCTGCAGGACACTGAGTCGCTGCTCCTGGGACAGCACCGGCACCTCCAGCTCATGAGGAAATGCTGTATGCACATCGGCGGGCAGGTCCTGGGCACGACTCGTGGTGGCCACCACCATCAGAGGGGGGCAGCTGCAGACACAGTAGTAGGCAGGGTCAGAGCTTGAGGTGTGGGGACGGTTGGCATCAGGACTGGCATCCAAAGTCCCAGCACAAGTTGTGGGGACACCATTTAGTGGAGATCTGGGTGTCGCTGGGGACAACCTAGCGTGTCCTGCCAAATGCTAGACTGCACCCTGCTTCCCCTGGAGACCCCTAGGAATTCAGGGAGCTCCCTGAGAAGCCAGCAGGGGTGAGGGCATAAGACACTAAGGGCTGGGAATACTTGGGAGAGGGCTTCCCCTTCCTCACCTGCCTCTCTGTGAGTACCTGCTGAGGGGGTCCTCATCAAGGAGGAGGTGACGCAGCGTGGCCACCACTCGAGCGTCCTCATCCAGCCCGTCTCGGCCCCGGCCCAGAAGGTCCACAGCTGTCAGCAGCAGGACTCCGGGCCTGCAGCGGCGCGCCCGGGAGAAGGCGGCCTGCAGCTTTGTCTCCACAGCAGCACTACTGTCTGCGCAGAGGCTGCAGCAGGGCACCTGTGAAGAGACCCGGCGGGTCAGTGAACAGGGAGAGGCCTGACCAGGGTAGGCAGTGGGAGGGGTCAAAAGCGGACCCTCTTCTCTGTGGTGGGCAGGGATGGGTGAAGGAGGAAGGGGCACAGGCCAGGTCTTAGCTCCCCCCCCCCCCGCCCCGTGTCCATTCCTGGGGATGTGAGGGCCTGAGGAGCTGAGCTGAGCATCGTGGGCGGGCTGTGTGTTAGCCCGGACTACTGGGCTGCTAGATGGTGGTGAGGGAACACAGAGGAAGAGGGAGGAAGGCAGAGTCTGGGCTGCTGGGAAATGGCTGGGGTTCTCACCTTCAGCAAATGGAGCCCAAGGCGGCTACATGCAGCTGTGACTGCTGTGGTCTTCCCACTGCTGGGAGGGCCCCGGAGAAGCACGCAGCCGGTTCCCGTGAGCAAGGCTCCTCTGCAGGTAAGAGGGTGCACATGCCTCCCACTCTCTGCCCACATGTTAACACGCCAGTAACACTGGGGCCCTCGGACCTCAGAAAGCAGTTTCTGGGTGTGCCTCCCTGTCGCCCATTCAGGCTGTCTCCACTCTGTCTCTTGGCAGAGGAAGAGAGGCACACACACACTGTGCCTCCTGGGAAGCCTAGCTTGACAGCTCTGGTCTGAAGAGCGGAGGGAGGGGTCTGGGTTTAGACTTGGCTCACTCCATCCCTGGGGATGGAGTGGTAAAGGCCAAGATGTACTGTGGGCTCCCCAAGCAGAGAAGCAGACACAGAGGGAGCCACCCGGGAGCCTGCTGGTGGCTTGGACTGGGAGACCTGGCTTGCAGGTCCCCACTCTGGGTAGACCACCGGGAGTTATTTTCCTGGACACTTCCTCTGCAGGGATGCTCTGGGCAGGCCCTTCTCAGCCTGGATTTATACCTCACTCACCCAGGCTGCAGGCGAGGCTTCAGGACAGCACAGAGCTCGCTCACCAAGGCCTCCAGGCCTGGAGGGGACAGGCTGTCCCAGGGAGTGGACCTTCTTGAAAGCAGAAGTGGAACACGACTCAGGGCAGAACCTGTCTGTGAAAGGTAGGAGGAAGAGCTTGGCTGCACAGTGCCCCGCCCCTTTGCCGGCTCTCCTCCTGCCCAAGGCCTTACTTACCATGTATAAAGAGGTGTGGGTGGTATCTGCCAGGAAGGCACGGGCTGGCCCATCTGGGGCTTCCCCAACGGTTTTCTTCACTTTAAAAAACACCTCCCGCCACCTGCGAGAAACAGGGCCAAGGGACCCAAGTCCTAGAGTGCACATCTGCCCCTCTCCGAGAGCAGGTGGCCTTCTCACAAAGGACACCCAGCACCACAGGTGAGGGTCCTGAGGCTGGCCTGCGGGGGACTGGGGAGGGCAGAACAGTCTTCTCTGACTGGACCAGAACACATATGAGGGCAGCGTCTGCCTTTCTGTCCCCAATACAACCATCAGAGAGCCCCGGAGGGCATGTCTACAGGCACATGCCCTAGCCGCCCGCTTCACAAGGTGAGGGCCCATCACTGAGCATTGCAACCTATGGCCACTTGCCCTGGCTTCAGTCTCTCTCCAATCCCTCTGCATCAGGGCCCCAGGCCTCAGACAGAAGTCTCCCTGGTTTTTATTCAGCAATCCAATAAATGCCATCTAACTCTAATCCTGGGGAGGCTGTCAAGAAGGTCGTGGGCTAGACAGGCTGTGCTACAGTGAGGTGAGTGACTCTCTATTCTGGAATTGTCTGTGAAGCTTTAGAAATAAATATTTTCCATGTATTTGACAGGTTGGCAAGTGGTTAACGTCTTTTTGTGGTTAGGAAAGTTCAAGAATTAAAGATGTTGGCACAACTTTCTTACTACAACAAAAACCATTATACACTTGTTTATTTTGCAAGGGGTCTCTCTGTATCTCCTACAATTCATAACTTGAAGCCTCAGTCTCTCAAGTGGCTGGAATGGTGGGTGCATGCCATGACCATGAATTGCACACTTTAAAGAGAGGCTGCAAGTGGTGACGTATGCCCTTGATCCCTGACTCTAGGCAGAGGCAGGAGGAGCTCTGAGAATCCAAGGCCAGCCTGGTTCACATAGCAAGTTCCAGAACAGCAAGGACTACTTACAGAGACCCTGCCTCAAACTCCCCAACTCCCAAAAGAGTATAAGAGGCTAGAGTCAAGGTCTTCCAGGCTCAGAATCATCACACACACACACACACACACACACACACACACACACACACACACACACACACTCCCGCCTCACTGGGGCCAATCAGATGGCTCAGCAGGTAAAGGCACTTGCTACCAACCCTGACTACCTAAGTTGGAATTCACATGGTAGGAGAAAACTGATGCTTACAAGTTGTCTTCTGACCTCCATAAGCTCCCGAATACACATTTTAAAAATGAATAAATGCAATTGAAAAAATATTACTTCATCCTTTGAAAGAAAAAGATGGTGGGGCGTTGGTGGCTCACGCCTTTAGTCCCAGCACTCGGGAGGCAGAGGCAGGTGAATCTCTTTGAGTTCAAGGCCAGCCTGGTCTACAGAACAGGTTCCAAGGCATTCAAAGCTACACAGATAAACCATGTCTCAAAAAACACAAACAAAAACCAACCCCCCAGTACCAGTAACAACAACCACCACAACACCACACACATAGCACTAGCTCTGAAGCATTTGTTAAACAAGAGACAGGCAAGAGAGACTGGTAAGTACCAGCCTGGATGCCAGGCCTCTGATGTGGACTAGGGTTAGCATCAACACTGGATGTTGGCAAAGATGAGCCAGGCATTTCTGGCAGGGTGTCTCACTTGGCATAGCACAAAGGATGAGGCAGAAACCCTGCAAAGGACAGCTGTCAAACGTTGGGCTAGTCTCTCTGTCAACTGTGCTCCCCAATAGAATATGATGGGAGCTCCCTTACAGCCCCTGGCATGCTCTTTGCCTTAATAAAGCTTTCACATAACCCTAAACACAACAAAAGCAGGAAAGGGCAGCTAGATGGCTCATCAGGTAAAGGCACTTGCTGCCAAACCTAATAATCTAAGTTCTATTCCTGAACCCTGTAAGGTAGGTGAGATCCTTCTCCTCAGAGCAATCCTGACCCCTACGTGTGCACTGTGACACTCGTGTGTAACAAACATAAAAGAAAAAAATACTACAGGAAATGGGAAACCAGTCTAGAAAAGACAGGGCTACTGCCCAGGGTTCAATTACATTTTCTTCCCTTCATAGAAGGCCTGACTGGCCTTGGACTCCTGATCTTCCTACCTCCACCTCCCAAGTGTTACATGTACAGACGTACACCACCACCCCAACTTGTATGTGCTGGGGATTGAACTCAGGGCCTCAGTCAAGCCAGGCAAGTGTTCCCACTTAACTGTTGCTCCAGCTCCATTAAAGTATTGTGTGTGTGTGTGTGTGTGTGCGCACAGGGGTGCTAGGAATCAAAACAGACCTCCTCACATGCTAGCCAAGTGCTTTACCAGTACTTACACCCCTGGCAGTGAGTGGTTCTTTTTTAAAGGTTTATGTATTTATTCTGTATGCAGTGTTGTCTGCTTGTGTGCCTGCCTGCCAGCAGAGGGCACCAGATCTCATTATACATGGTTGTGAGCCACCATGTGGTTGCTGGGAATTGAACTCAGGACCTCTGGAAAAAACAGTGCTCTTAACTCCTGAGCCATCTCTCCAGCCCCGCAGTGATGGTTCTTACTCTGTCTTGGTTATGTCCACTTAGGAACCAGAAGGTGCATTTTTTCCACCTTCCCAGCAGTGACACAAAATATCCTTTGGCACAAAGCTTTTACATACAACTTGGGAGGAGACTGTTGACCTGCAGCCTTTGACTCTCCTATAGATGAAGAGGCAGTTGCATACCTGGGCAGTTTCTCCAGGCTTCCTTCCAGAATCTCAGCTTGCCCAGCCGTTGGTATGCACAGAACATCCCCTTCCTGGACCACCCTGCAACACAGCAGTGGCCTCAGTCAGCAGCTTGCAGAGGGGGTGCCACAAGCGTGCCTAGCACATCTGGGCCTACTAAGCAATTGTCTAGGGAATAATTAAGATTTCGATTGAGTTGGGGAAATGACGGTGAGAGTACAAATGGGATCAGAGATAAACAGCACTCTGGCTCTTTTGGAATACTCTTTGACCAAACAAACAGTCCTTTTTCTTAGAATGTTCAGATTCACCTCATGGTCATTCCAAGGCTCCCTGCCACAATACTGCCTATAATGCAGGTCTCCTAAACCAGAAGCCCTGGCACATCTGGACCTGAGGCATGGGATGGAAGGGACAAGGTGAGGCTCTTTTCCTTGAAAGGCATAGGCAGCTAACCTGGGTGTATGAAAATGCCGGTAAAGAACATGGTCATAATTCCCATTGGCGCTGTAGTGAGGTGAGGACACAATTTCAATGTGTAACTCTCTAGCAAACGGAGGCCCAGACAGCAGTGAACAGCTTCCTCTGTCTTCAGGGGTGATGGAGCCTTCCACATACCTCTAATGGAGAAACAATCACCACCTTACAACCTCCGAGGAGACAGGCTCTACCCTCTAGCAGCCAGTGTCTACATCTACCTTTGTCTTCACAACATCAAGGCTAGCAGCTCGAGGTGACAAACTGCACACACCAAAGCTCTCCTAATGTGTACCAAAAGCTTCCTGTGAGGGCCTTTCTCTGAAAGCTGCCTCCATCTCCTAAGTGTTGGGATTACAGGCGCGCACCCATGCCCTGCCCCTATAAGCTCTTTGAGACGCTGGGCAGCTCCTGGAATTGACACTAAGTGGTCTTTTGTGAAGACACAGAGTTCTGGCTGTGGGAAAGGGTAAGGTTTTGTTGTTTCATTCTACAGCTCAGGTTGACAGTCAACTCAGCAATTTTCCTGCCTCAGCTTTTCAAGTGCTAAGTCTTTAGAGAGGATTTACCACAGCCAGCTTTACAAACAGCTGAACCAAGCTACAAGGGCTGTTCCAGCCGAATGAGCTCCAACATACCAGTTGTGGTCAGTCAGAAGGAACCCGCATCCACTGTCACTCACACTGGGATGTCTTAGTGGACTTGTTTGGTTGGTGTGGTTTGGGTGCTAAGAACGGATCCGGGGATTCTCAGGAGCTAGTCAAGTGCTTCACCCTAGCCTCCCATCTCACAGTATTAACTGGTCACTCACCTAACCAAGTTTCTACACTGCTGGCCAGGTTGTTTCTACACATGAGCGCTGGGCACCTTAGAGGAGTTAAATCAACTCAAGAACTGGCGTTGTTTTAGTTACTAATTTCAATTGGTTACTGGCTTCCTTTCAAGCCAGCACCAACCTAAGGCACACACATATGCTTAGAAACTAAGCCGCAGTGTTTCCCCCCCCCCAAGCAAACTGTACTTTTAAAAGCAAAGGCAGAAACCAAAACACTTCAAGAATGTCTCTTAAATGTATTTAATGCGATATTAAAGATAATAAGATACTAAGGGTAACAAAGAGCCCTTCCAACGAATTTAAAATCTACGACTGAGGACTAGACAGGTTATGTGATCATAAGAATAAGACAAGTATTTTAACAAATCAAAAGGCTAGAGGGGGAGGAAATGACGTTAAACGTTATGGTACCCAGATCATAAAAGGATTTAAAGAGTTTTTATTTTATTATTTTTTATGTAGGCCTTGAGGTAAAGGATGGTAGAATTTTGTCAGATAAAGTTAGAATAGGAAGTCGATGAAAAGCATGAGCTGAAGGTAGCAAGCCAGCACCCTAACGTATCCACCCAGTTACAGATCAGCTTAAGTATGCACAGCTGGTATCTGACCGTGAACCTCACCTTTCACCTGAACACATGAACGCTCTTCCCTTGCACCCAGAGAATGGGTAAACGAGGCTAAGGGACCGAAAGTGCAAAGTCTAAGACTGTTCAGGCCCAGGGGACCTGAATTTTACAGCTAGCCTAATTCAGGTAGGCAGACGGGAGGGCAGAAGGAAAAGGAAGCATTCCTGACCTGAATTCTGATCTCTCCCACTTCCAGGGGGTCACAGCCGAGATTAAAAGCCAAAGTAGCAGGCACAAACACCAGTCCGTCAGCGAGTGGCTCTGCCAGCTGCCCAGAGCTGGGTCCCAGTCTCTCGGCCAGGTCCCAGCGTGGTTCTAGGACCTGTACTTTAGCCAAATGCGGCTGGGATGTGTTTGGTGGCTCTCCCACCCGGGCCACCCACACCCATTCGCCCTGGAACAGTCCGAGACCCCGGAGACAGCCCCGGGTCACACCCAGTGCCTCTCCAGCCCCTCCCAGGACCCCTTGAAGTTGCCGGACGGCGTGGGAGACGGCGAAGGAGGACACCACGGGCGGGGGCGGGGGCCGGCTCTGGGCCGTACTCTCAGGGCCCAGTCTGGCCCGGCCGCGGAGCTCCGTTACAGCCAGCCGCGTCCCTGGGCCCAGCAGCCCTTGCAAGGCCGGTCGCGTCTCCAGCACTCGCGAACCGGGCGCGGGCAGGGTCTCCCCGCGGCGCACCAGCAGCGGCCCGACTCGGGGCCCGAGGCCGGGCCCGGGCGACGTGCCGAGCAGCGCCCAGCCCAGCGCCGGAGGCCGCCGCACAGGCCGCGCTCGAACTCGCGCCCCGGGGCCGAGCGCCAGGAGCCGCAGTAAGGCGCGGCTCACCAGCAGCTGCGGAGGCCCGGGCCCTCGCTGCTCGCTCCGGGAGTCCGGGCCTTCGAGGGCCGCAACGAGCAGCGCGGGCCCCGCAGGGCTTTCGCCCGCCGGCCGCAGCGCCAGCACTAGGCCCAGCCCCGTGGCAGGCCACGGACCCCCGGGCGGCAGCAGCACCGCCAGCGGCGGCGTCTCAGTCGGGAAGGGCTCCAGGACGCGCAGGACAGCCAGCGCCATGGCCACTGACGGCCCAGCGCCTCCACTTCCGGAACTAGCCGCCGGGAAATCCGCGGGCGCGAGAGGCGTTTCCGCTTCCGGCAGGAAAGTGGGCGCGGCTTCGGTGGCGGAGTCGGCCTGCGGGAGGACGCGCGGCGCGCGGGCTGCTTCCACCGCGTCCGCCGTAATCGCCGACGCATGCGCTTTTACCTTGGCGTTTCGGCAGGGGAAGTCACGCCCTCTCAGTTATTGTGCCCCGCCACACGCACTCAGTGTTTGACTGATGGAGAGTGGCTGGTGTGAAAAGTACAAGGAGTCCATTTTTTCCTGAGGAAATCGCAGTTTGAGGGTCGCGGTGAACGTGGTAGAATCATTAAACTGACCCAGACATGCTTCTGTGTGTGTAGTTATGTCGTGGCTGCTGAGTGAATTACTGCCTGAGATTCACGTAGCCCAGTTTGGTGCTGCCACACCTGTCCCCACACCCCGTACACAAAGCCCGTCTTCACTGTCCTACTCCCGCCAAACTTTCAGATTGAGCACGGTACCTCTTCCCTCAAACCCTTGGTCTGTCCTGTTAATCCTCCAGACGCAGTCTCCGTTTCTGTGCTAGAGGAGGGAAGGAAAGGGTTGGAGGCTTTGTGATGGGAACTGATCCAACAGCCTGTACTGTTACTTAGATTTCATCTCTGTCTTCTCTCTACCCTCCGTTACATTCAGTGGTAGGTCACGTTTCTAATGCAGTTACTGAGTTTTTGTTTCCTTACATTTAATCAATGTTTTGGATGATGGCGATTGCCTTTCTCTGAATCTCATATTTTCTTCCAGCTATTGTCGGGCTTTCTTCCTTGGAAGTTGAGCTTCTTGAGATAGTCGTCTTCTGTTTTATATAGTATACACTCTTGAATAATCTGAACATCAGACATCTGAAAGTTTAATATTAGAATTAAATTACATGTATTAAGGTGTCTTTATCCCCAGGAAGATGAGAAAATATTTAAATGTCTGATTATAGTTCCTGGAAATACCTGAAACTGGGCAGGGGATGTAACTCAGTTGGTAGAGTGCTTATCTGGCAATGGTGAGGCCCTGGGTTTGAAACCAGGTACGGTGGTACCTGGTACGGTCTTCCTCGAATTTGATAGGTAGAAGCAAAAGTTACATAGTGAATTTGAAGCCAGCCGAGGATACATGAGAACTTGTCTCAAATGGAATTGTCCATTCTCTCTTCTTTTTGTATGTTCATGTGTCCATGTATGTGCACATGTATAATCTTACTTATGTACATACGTGAACATTCATGTGGAGGTCAGATGTTAAGGTCAGGTTGTTGTGTGATAAAACTTCTGGGGAGATGCAACACGTGTTTCTCACCCCAGATCGGGATCCCACCACAGACCACAGCGCAGATACCCACAACCTCCAGCTTGGTGAACTCACAGGAGCAGAAATGACTCAAAGCCCTCCGCCAGCATAGGTTACAGCTCACAGGACAGGAACCTGGAACACACTACACAGCCTGCTCACCAGGTTGGAGAGTGCCCTTTGCAGGTTTCTCATTTGGTCTGGACTCTCTCTAGGCAGTGTGGCTGGTTTCTGTTTCTTCCAGGTAGTTTGTCTGCTCAGAGAGTCGTCTTTGTAACTTGGCTTCAGCTCTCTGAGATGGACTCTCAGATTTTGTTGCTTACTCTGGCAGGGAGGGGCCTAGTGAGTCTTGTCAGTTTCAGGGACTTCAGGAAGCTATTTTGCATTGTTTACCATCCTGCTTAAGGAGTTTCCTGCAAGATGGCTATCTGGATTTTGCTCTGTAGACCAGGCTGGTCTCGAACTCACAGAGATCCACCTGCCTCTGCCTTCCAAGCACTAGGATTAAAGGCATGTGTCACCCCCTCCCAGCAAGGATGGAATGTTTTATTTTGGGAAGATAATGTTATGGAACACAAATGTCTTCTGAAATTGCTCTCCATACTGTTTTGAGGAGGGTTTTGCACTGTACCTAGAGCTAACTAATTTGGCTGGACTGGCTGGCCAGCAAACCTGAGGACTCAGGTTCTCATGCTTTTGTAGCAAACCCTGATGATGAAATGACCTCACCATCTTCACAGCCCTTCCTTCCCAGATTCTTGAGGGCTGGTCTTGAATTCACTATGTAGCCACGACTGGCTCTAAACTCCTGATCCTTCCTCCTCCATGTCTCAAGTACTGGAATTATAAGTGCTCTACCATGCCTGAATGTCTCTTGTTTTTTTTTTTTTTTTTTTTTTTTGAGACAGGGGTTCTCTGTGTAACATTGATGGATGTCTTGGAACTCAATTGGTAGACCAGGCTGGCCTCGATCACAGAGATCCTCCTACCTCTGCCTCCTGAGCACAGAGATGTCCACCCACAAATAACCATCTTTCCCTCCCAGGCTGTTCCCCTGCAAATAATAGTAGAAATGTGGTCCACTGCGTGTTGCCTTGGAATTGTAGTTAGTCATAAAGCTAATGCTATTTCTATATGACAGCCAGGATCCTACGTTTGCTGCCTTTACCTCATGCTCACTCTTCAACCTACTATAACCCTGCACTCTTCTGAAGCTTCCCTGGCAAAGATCACCGGACACCTCCTAATTGCAAAATCAAGGTGTTACTATTCAGTATTTATCGTACTCTTGTCTGCCTCTGGCCATATGACACCAGTTTCCTCTGACCATCTTTCATCACTTGTGAAAGTCATCCTAACTCCTCCTTCCTCTCATCCCATCTCTCCGCCAGTGCAATGACTCACCAAATCCCGTTGACGGTACACACCTGTCCCCATCATCTTTTGCATTTGTTTTTAATTAAGTTTTTATTTGTGTGTCTGTGTCTGAGTGTAAACCACCTTTGTGCAGGTGCCTATGGACGCCACAAGGGGGCGTCAGAGCCACTGGAGCTGGACTTACAGGCAGCTGTGAACCAATTGATGTGGGTGATGGGAACACACTCAGCCTGGTCTCCAGCCTATCTTTCCCATTCTATTAAAACATTTATTTAAAATTATGTGTATGTGCGCATGTGTTTAAGTGCAGATACCTACAGAGTCCAGGTCCCCTGGAGCTGGAGTTAAAGGCAATTGTGAACCAGCTAATATAGGTCCTGGGAACTGGACTCAGGTCCTCTGGGAGAGTCCCAGGTGCTCTGAGCCACTGTACCATCTCTTCAGCCTCCACCGTTCCCATTCTCCTGGCTATTACTCTACGTGTAAGGTTCATTGGCTACTTATTTGTTTAGTTTTTTGTTGTTTTGTTTTGAGACAAGGTCTTGGTGTAGTTCAAAGTGGTCTCAAACTGGTTATAGCGAAAGCTGGTCTGTAACTCCTGCTTCTCTCGCACCTTCCAACTGCTGGGATTAGAGGGGTAAGACACCACACCCGGCTCCCACAGGCTTATTTTTGATGGATCTCCTCCAGTTTCTTAACGTAGTCTGTTGGCTACTAGGGTTAACTGAGATATATTCCTCCACGCCGGTCTGAGGTTTGTGTAATTTATGACATTGTATTTTAATCATCTCTTATACAAGTCTGTGTACCTCATCAGAGTGGGAACTCCCTGAGGTCAAGAACCCAGTCTTACCTACCCATTAGAACACCAGCCTGGGTGCGGCAGCGGCACAGGTAAGGTATAGGTCTTCTGGGACACTGTTACTTTCCCACTTCATTCTTAGTGGCTCAAACGCAGCTAGTTTACCGATCCCGGCATCCTTGCATTGGGATTCTCATTTTATTTCAGTCGGATTCCAGCGCTCATAGGCTTCCCCTCTGCTCCCCTGCAACTGTGAACTAGGACAGACTTGATGAATGCACAGGAGGACCCTTGGGAGTCTTCTCTATCAATTTGACGGGTGCAATTTGAGCTACTTGAAACTCCTGTGAAGAAAGGTGCCCTTTCGTGTTAGGGCCTCTTCCCTCGAGTTCGGACCAGGCAGGGCAGGTAGCAGGGCAGGGGAAAACGTGAGAGCCACTTCTGGAGGGAAGGAGCAGAGCTCCAAGGAATGAAGAATAGCAGAGGACGACGCACAGGCAGGCGACGCCGGAGAGCAGCATCGCCAGCCAAGCTCGGGCTTCCCCATGGCCCCGCCTTCTTCACGAAGCCCGACCTTCTCTAGGGCGGGACCTTCCCTTCCAGCCAATTCTGGGTGCCGAACCCTGGCGGTTTGTACTCTTTCTTTCCAATGAGAAAAAAAGGAAGCAGCTTGGCTCCAATGGCCAATCGGAGGAGGCGGCGCCTGGTTGTCAGGCAGGTTTGTAAGAGTTAGGGCCAATTGGAGGCGCAGCCACCGCTCGGCCCGGGCGCAGCGCGCAGGCGGTGGCGGAGAGACGCCGAGCGGGCCGAGTGCGGCCGAGCAGAGCCGGAGCCGGAGCGGGGCCGCAGGAGCCGGGCCGGGTGTGGACCGGCCGAGATGCCCTATAAACTGAAGAAGGATAAGGTGAGCGTGGCCTTTGCCCGTGCGCCTCCGCCGCGGGGCCTGCGCGGAGCTCTGGGAGGGGCCCAGGCAGGCCCGGGACAGCCTCGGACTGACCCTCCGGTCCGGCCCCCCGCTGCACTCCCGGGCCAGCCCCTGGGCCGCGCGGCTGGCAGCACCCCCAGCCCGTGCAGCAGCTGGGACAGCGCTCCCTCTTTGCCCCGGACAGATTCTCCCCACCTATCTCTCTTCCCTTCCCCTTTGCTCCTGCCCCCGGCCCCCTCCAGATCTCCTCCACTCCCAGCTCACTCCCTGGCTTTTTCTCCCCGCCTTCCTCTGTCCCCGATCCCCCACGGGTTTGGGACAGTCCTCATCCAAGACTGCATCTTCCTCCAGTACTACCCCCACCCCCGCCCTGTGCAGCCCTTTCCTCCTCTCCTCACTAGCCTATAAACGGCCTCTCCACAGTTCTGAACGGTACAGCCCCTTCTCCCTCCACGGCAAGCCCCTGACCTAGAACCGCTCTGCCTTTTCTCTCCTCCGCCCAAATCTGGCCTAGGCCCCTCCCTCGAGTCTTCCTTTACACACAAACTTGTAAGCCAGG